TTGGTATTTAAAGCATTATTTATCTATTTTGTGTTATCATGGGCTGAAGGTTTTTGTTTATATTACCAATTTAATTATTTTGGTTATATATATATATATATATATATATATATATAGTCTTCTCTTGTACCTATCATTGGCCATATGTATAGGTTGTTTATGCATTCAATTGCCGTTTGAGAGGCAGAAATAGTCAATAATTACTGAAATGCTTTTATATCCAATAACAAAAAAATAAACATAAGTAGCTTTTTACATCAACTTTTAAATGTGTTGATGTAATTTCCAATGCAGTCTTATCTCTATCCTTATGAAGCACCGCCCCCGATGCATAATTAATCTCGTTTGCCAATAATAATTTGAAAATACAGTTAACGGCCGTGAAGATCGAGTCTGCATTCTCGTCTGGTAATTATATGCAAAGATGAATTGCCATATTGTTATTGAATTCTAGATCAATCACAAAACGGGTGCGCTGTAGTCACGAGAGTCGCATTTTCATTTAAACTAGTGGACATATAACTCTTGCCCACCTCACTTCTAATAGCGAAAACTAAATTAACTACAATTTATACTACTACCGCTACTACTACGATTACTACTACTACTGCTGTACTACTACTAATATAACTTCCACTGCTACTACTGTTAGATTACTACTACTATCGTAGTGATAACTACTACTCCTACAGCTACTACTACTACTACTACTACTACTACTACTACTACTACAACTACTACTACTACTACTACTACTACTACTACTACTACTACTACCAATAATACTACTACTTCTACTGCTACTACTACTACTACTACTACTACTACCAATAATACTACTACTTCTACTGCTACTACTACTACTACTACTACTACTACTACTACCAATAATACTACTACTTCTACTGCTACTACTACTACTACTACTACTACTACTACGACTATTTATGCTACTATTGTTGATACTTGTGCTGCTGCTGCTACTACTACTACTTCTACTAGTACTACTAATTATTATTATGAAAATAATAACAATGACAATAACGGTCATTTTTATAGCGCACATATCCACCACCATACAAGGTGCCCAGGCGCTCTAATAATATCCCGGGTCTGCTGGGCTACCGATTCTAGTGCTCACAGCATTAAAGGAATTCCTTCCTACCGGTATCTTATCATCACCTGGGTGGAGAGTAGCAAATGTAGATTAATTTATTGCCAAATTACACTATTACTTAGTGCGGCAAGGGAAGTCGAACCGCGAACCATGGGATCCACAGTCCGACGGCTTTCCACTAGACCACGACACCGTCATACCGGTCTATACGTGTGAATTCTTTCATGAATGAAGCTATGTCCAAAATAATAGTTATATTTATTTCATAGTATTTCTGGTAGTTTGATTAAGTAAATTTAACTAGCTATTTTACTCCATTCCAGATTTATAGGATGCTTTGTGCCATATTCTTGCCCAGTAAAAATAACAATAACTCTTCATCTATATGAACAATAGATTCGAGTGAATATGATACAAAACAAGTATTTTATTTCATGATTACGACTTTTTTTAAAATTATTGTATGAATTAGGAGAATTGTAGTAATTTGTACAACACACGAAGCTTTAAAATTTGGCGACACAAAAATCAATGGACTTAGAGCAACCTAGATTTATTCCACATGTATGCATGCAGGCCATTATAAAGAAAAACAAACAAATCTGAAAATGAAACTATTCGCTCCCGATTATTTCACCGTCTTCTCTTTGGAGAATTACAATATCTTGCCTTGATCAAGCCTGTTAAAGTAAATAAATTGAGAGCCAAAAAATGTACCCATTTCCCATCATGTGTTGCTGTTCAGTACATTTTGACGTAATGGAGTCAGGATGATCACGCAATAAAGCACTGCAATTTCCTATCGCGTTTGCACTATATTACATGAATGAACTAGGAATATTGCAGTATAGCTGGGGAAAGAATCGCATGAAAAACAGAGTGTATGTGGAAAAGAGCCTATCTGACTTTTCGCGCAATAACTTTTCTCATCGCGGCCATGTCAACACTGCGGAAACCAATAATGCCATGGAAACGTGTAAACAATAGACGGGCGAATCGATGCTTGTTTGTAGTAAGACTCGACTGATCGGGAATGGAAAATTAACCTCCTTTTATTAATATCAGAATTGTTCTCGTGTATGCACAATTAGACTGAAATGCTGCCATGAAAAACCGCAATAAGAGGCAAGACAAAAGATCGGCAATGGTCTGAAAGAGTTGATTATATAACTGATTTCGTTTCTTTTCTTTCCCTTCTTTTTCTTTTAATGACAGATTGATCTGGCATTGATGTGAGTGAAAGATAACATAATGAAGGGATTGATTGGGATACATGGGGGAAAAGAAAAATAGATTAACATGTAGAAATTCAGCGTGAGAGAAAGAGAGATATATGATGGGAGAGGGCATGGATAGATAGAGGCAGACGGAGAAAGGGGGATAGGGTGCATTTTAACAGACCTGGGGGGGGGGGGGGGGGGTGTTTCAAAAAGATTCTAAGTTGAACTTATCTCTAAGTTGGACTTAAAAATTATGGAAAGCCGTTAGCATCTTTGAAAATATTTTGTAAAAGTTATTTTGAAAGGCATAAAATGTTGATTCAAATCATTCATATTTTCTATCATCTAGGAGATTTCATGTTCTTGATGTGGAATTTATAAAAAAGTCTAAAATACTTGAATTTCTGCTTTTGAATATATTTTATTTTAAGGCTCCAATGGCTGTCCATAATTTTAAGTCTAACTTAGTGTTAAGTTCTACTTAGGATCTTTGTGAAACACCCCCCCCCCCGGGATGTTTCACAAAGACTAAGAACGACTTGTAAGTTGTACTTAACTACTGTATGGCAGGTCAATCATGCCACTGGTTTCTCTCACCATGATGATCTTTATTTAATATTTTTTCCTTCATTAATGAACTATCAAAAAAATGAAAATTATGTAGATTTGTAACCACGATTTGTACGTCCCTTAAGAAACCAATGCCAGCAAATGGTGAGAGTAAACAGTAGAATGAACGGCCTGCCATAGCCTGATGTCACTAGTAGCGTCACTGCATAATCAATTAACTCTTCATTGTTTCAATACTCGAACGACATTTTATTTCCATTTCTCTCCCAATTCATTATCAATTGCGTTTTAATGCGATCATGCAATCAAGATTCCTCGAATTCAAAAATGGATTTTGTAATAGTTGATCAAATTGCTGAAACGATAATAGTATTCGATTCTTCTAGCACGTAGCAATCAAACAAATTTGTTGAATATTAATGCCAATAGATATCAAACGAATGTTTATTTTTCGTCCTCTCTTAATTCATTATCAATTGCTTTTATGCGATCATGCAATCGAGATTCCTAGAATTCAAAATACAAATTTGTATACAGTTACTTGTATTGCTGAAATGATATTAGTATTCGATTCTTCTACTACATAGCTATCCCTAAAATAAAAATGGAATACTAATGCCCATAGATATACAAAGAATGTTTATTTTTCTTCTTTTCTTAATTCATTATCAATTGCTTTATGCAATTCATGCTAGAAAAATTCCTGGTATTTAACATACATATTTTTAAATAGTTACTTGTATTGCTGAAATGATATTAGTATTCGATTCTTCTACCACATAGCAATCCCCAAAATAAAAATGGAATACTAATGCCCATAGATATGAAACGAATGTTTATTTTTCTTCCTCTTCCTATTCAGTATAATTTAGTTTTATGCGATCATGCCATAAAGATTCCTCGTATTCAACATACGCATTTTACATAGTTGCTTCTTGCTGAAACGATATTAGTATTCGATTTTTCTACCACATAGCAATCAAAAATACATTTTCAATAATAATACCAACAATACATGATTGAGTCAGTAGCATATGGAATTGACGAAGTGAACTGTGCATCGTTATATATTTCAGCTGTATTATCGTAAAGGTCCATTGAAAACGAGATGAACTAGCGTCCAATTAATTATCTAGTCAATATCGAGTTCCACCAACACCACTTGAAAAGAAAAAAACGAGAGGAAAAGAGAAGACTCGAGGAAACGAGGGGGAAGGTTATTGAATATTGATGGGCACTATTGCTCATTTATTTGTAATGATATAGTCCCTGGCTGTGAACCATTGTTAGAGAGTTTCGGGTTCGTGCAACAAGCCTCAATAGTATTATATAAAGATGGTTGATGGATATCTCTTTTTATCTCTCTCTCTCTCTCTCTCACTCTCTCTCTCTCTTTGTTCGTCTCTCTCTTTTTATTTCTCACTCTCTCTCTCTCTTTCTTTCTTGTTTGTCTCTTGTTTGGCTCTTTTTTTCTCCTTCTCTCTCTCTGTTGTTATTATTTCCTTCACTTTCTTCCATTCTTCTGAATATACTTCTTTGTTTTCCCTTTTTTAAATATGTATCTACTTTTTTTCTCTTCCTCGCTTTTTAAGGTTATTGCAAATTGATTTTATTACAACAAAGGTTGATGGATATTTTTTTTTCTCTGTCTCGCTTTCTTTATTTTTTTCGTCTTTCTCTCTCTCTCCCCCCCCCCCCCTCTCTCTCTCTCTCTCTCTTTCTTTCCGTTTGTCTCTCTCTTTCTCTCTCTCTGCTGTTGTTGTTTTTTTTCCCTTTTTTCTTTCCATTTTTCTCATTCTTGATCTTTTTTTTTTCTTCTTCTGAATAAAGTAATGTGCAGATTATGCATTCCGATTAGCTAAATAAAGCTACTATGTTTTTAAAAAAAATTTAAAAATAAATTTATTTATTTATTTTTTATTTTTTAAAATTTTATTTATTTATTTATTATTATTATTATATTTTTTTTTTTTTTTTTTTTTTTTGGGGGGGGGGGGGGGAATACATTGTTCCAACTTTAAAGACAGAAATTATTTTCATTGATTATTGATTTTTATATGTATATTAATTATTATCCGACCTTTTCTACGTAGTATACCGCCTCCCACGTCTTGCATTGGCTGAAACACAAATCACACTCTCGGACAAGGACAAATGCACTCCGTTCACACTCACGTACAACATTCCTCAGCCGGGAGAGGGCGACACACCAGCTCAACCCTCGACTGACGGAGCAGACCAAGATGAACGTGGAACCGAAGGTGATGGTGAAACCAGGGAGGTGATCAGCTATGAGGATTTCAGTACTCTTCGGGAGGAGCAGTTTTCACTACCCGCTGTCCCATTTCTGCTGGGGAATCAAGGTATTCTTAACTGCTTCATCAATAATGTTATGATCGTAATAAAATAGACTTCTTAGACATTAAAAGACCGGAGAGCTAACAATCTAAGAAACTGAAACTGAAGACACGAATGCAACTAATTTCGAGAAAAAAATCCACTTGATGCATTTCCAATAGCTTTCATGCATCACCTATTGCAATCAGGTATTACGTAATCGGAACATAATTTATGTAGGGAATGGACTATTGTATTTAAATTGACCTGAAATTATCGATTTTTTTTTTTTAAAATCTCGAAAGTACTTTTGTTCAAATGAAATTGTACAAAATGGATGAAATAAAACTGAACATCATTTGTCGTTGTTGCTATCGTTGTATTACACCAGACGCTCAGCAGTCATTAGACCAATCCAGGAGGATTACCATTGATGAAGCGAGCTTCGTGTCAGATAGCCAGCTCACGGTTGAAGGGAGATTCTGTGAGATGGATTCGCGCGTCCTGCAGCTATGCCTCACGCTCGACGGACGCACGCGCATACGCACGGACGACGCACCAGAGGGCAAGTGTCACAATCTCACCGTGTACGCTGCGGCACCCGCGGTTTCAGGTGCTCGGTTGAGCGATAGAGGTAAGCTACATATACCCTTTTAAGGTATAGACCAGTTTTGGAAACGCCCCCTCTCAAAAACGTAATGGAAGTTCTTATTAACAATCATGTGAAAGAATATATTTTGACTAATACGTCATGATACAAATTTTGCAGGGAAACCTCCTACTAATAATATATTTGGTAAATTATTATAACGATCCGGCCTGGATAGATATCGCGAATGCACTTCAACATTGAACATTGAAGTATTGCCATCTAAGCCTCTGCGGGCAATATTTAAACAATAATGAATTGATATTTGCACCCAAAACACTTGAACCGCAAATTTACCACTATCGGTCTTTGCCTTTAACTTTTCCCTTTTCAAAGTCATTCGTTTGCCAGATGTATCGATGTGCACACAGCAATACCAATTGACAGTAGGATTGCTTTTGGAAACGCAAGACGCAAGTTTAGTCTTGAGTAGCTATTCTGGCGATCCTTTACATGGATAGATTACTAATACTACACTGGGCACCTTTATAAAATAATAAAGCCATACCATGTAAAAGGAATTGTAATAATTCAATATTTCGATTAAATTTCGTTGCTAAGGAATTATATGAAATCACAACATTTTCTAATACCAACAGGACAGGTATTCCTCCGTCATTAGTTTCTTTCTTTCCACCTTTCTTCCATGCAAGCTCAAAACAAACTAAACATTTCATATATTTTCAGCTACTTTAATTTATAAAGTATAAGCATTACCGATGATGTCAGAACCATCTCCTTTGTATTGTTATTTATTTTATCCCTGTCCTCGTTTTGAAGCCGATGCCATTATCGTCTTCTTTGACAAGGACGTGAACGTCGCGAACCTTAAGAAATGTTCGGCAATCTTCGACGAGACTTCAGTGGCGAAGTTCGGCGACGAAGCAGAATGCCAGTGGCGCAAGGGCAGGGAATTGGTTGTGCGCTTGGGCAAGGGAGCCACAATTAATCCACAGTCAGGTAGAGAACATAGTATTTTAATTCTCATTAGCCTCTCTACACCCATGTGTTAAATGGATACCTGGCATGTTTTATTCGTTCTTCTTCTTCTACTCCTTCTTCTACTTCATCATCTACTTCATCTTCTTCTTCTTCCTTTTCCTTTGTCTGCTTCTTCTTCTTCTTCTTTTTCTTCTTCTTATTTTTTTTCTTTTTCTTCTTCTTCTTCTTCTTTCTTCATCTTCTCCTTCTTCTTCTTTTCCATCTTCTTCTTCTTCTTCTTCTTCTCCTTCTTCTTCTTCTTCTTCTTCTTTTTCTTCTTCTTTTTCTCCTTCTTTTTTTTTTTCTTTTTCTTTTTTTTTCTTCTTCTTCTTCTTCTTCTTCTTCTTTTTCTTCTTCTTTTTCTCCTTCTTCTTTTTTTCTTTTTCTTTTTCTTCTTCTTCTTCTTCTTCTTTTTTTTCTTCTTTTTCTTCTTCTTTTTCTCCTTCTTCTTTTTTTCTTTTTCTTTTTCTTCTTCTTCTTCTTCTTCTCCTTCTTCTTTTTCTCTTTCTTAGAGGTATCGTGGTATAGTTGATTCGTCGCTGGACTGTGAATCACATGGTACACGGTTCGAGTCCAACTGCGGCATTACTACCCTATGGCTATCAAAGAATGTGCCATCGGTGCAAGAATGTACATTGATTACATGACTTTAACAAAATAATATTAATGAAGTTAATCCATCACTTTGGCAGTGATTATTCTTAGATGCTCAGACTTGGACCTTTGCATGTGTGTACGACCTGTGGCTATTAGGGACTTTTAGATTTTGACGACGAGAGCGTGGACTGCCGCGTGTGACTTTGTGTTTAATAGGGACTTTTAGATTGAGTGGACGAGAACACGACGAACGCCGACTGATCATGCGTGTCAACGTACTCAACTGCCCATGTTAACTACCATTAGAAATCTTTTAAATTGCACTCGACAAAACATACAGTTCCTCATTCTACCCTCAACAATTGATGTGGTAGACAAAAGAACATCCCTTCACTGCTATTATGTAAAAATGTGTAGAACAGGTGAATATGCATGCGACATCTGTTTTACACATTTTAACATAATAGCAGGGAAGGGACGTTCCTTTGTCTACCTGAGGAACTGTATATTTTATGCGCACGCGGCATATTAGAACCTTGAGCATGTTTTATGTAAAGCGCTATATAAATATCAATATGTATGTATGTACTAGATTTAGAAAAATCAAGGTTGACGCATTCTCAATCGCCGACTGAGACGACGTGACGCATGCGCAGTGCCTTAAAATGACGTCACACGTTGCAGTCAAAGCTGTCGACGTGCAAATCTAAAAGTCCCTAATAAGGCACTGGGTCGTGTTCGGCAGTGCCATAAAGGACGTCACACTACCTTAAAAGGACGTCACACGTGGCGGTCCACGTTCTCGTCGTGTACATTTAAAAGTCCCTATTATTGGTCATGTATGCCGTCCGCTAACCATGAAATGGGTTCTTCATGGTGATAGGCTTAAACCGCTTAGAGGCAATTTGCAATTTGCGGTATACAAATATCTTATTATTATCATTATTAATATCATACCATGACCTTCATTTCTCGTGCGCAGATAACATCTACGAACTGGCTTTAATTTGCTTATTCGCTTGGGTCACACACGACTTTTATTTCAATTTCTTCTTCTTCTTCTTCTGTTTTTTGTAATACAGAGAGCAGAATCGCACTCCGACCAGATCACATCCGGGCCTTCCGGCAGCTCTTTTCTCATACCGCGTCCGGCATGGTCGAAGTGCTCCTTCCGAACAATCCCGTCACACCAACGGCTCTTATTGACGGCGAGCCGAAAGTTCCCGAATGCGGAGACATCAGGCTCTCGGCTCTGAGGTCAAAGGGCGGCGGATCACGTGGTCTAACATACACGTGGTCCATTCAGAGACCGACAGAGGATGTGGATGAGAGGATCACGAATATACTGGCGAGAACAAACGGTAAACAGTATGAACACGATAAGATAAATATCGAATCATTAGTATTAGTATTGTCATTATTGTTATCATACTCATAATTTGTACTGTATTGTACTGTTGATATATATATCTCTCTCTCTCTATATATATTAAATATAATAGTGCAGATATAACTATACGTTTGCCAAGTGGAAGGATCTTCACATGACTAATCTTTCGTGGACTTTGAAGATGAATGAACCCTAAACATAAGATCTGTAAAGTCGACTTCAAAATATATTCCATGCATGTTATGAACACTGCAAGGCAAACAAGTTGAGGGCGTTTAACACTAAACATGTTTTTTCGAAGTTGGGTCTAACTTGAAATAAAAGATAATTATTTTTTTCATCGTTTCTGTGTGTGGTTACCATGCAGGTGACAATAAAGCAGAGTTAGTCGTCGGCGCCAGTCTCTTGTCTGATGATACTCCGTACGTGATGCGATTAACTGTTAGTAACATACTGGGACTGGAGAATTCGACGACTTTCACCGTGCGGAAAGCGAATGAACAGGAGCCTAAGTTTAAGATTGGAACCATAGGAATCCCCGCAGACAAAGTGGTCAACGTAAACAAGCCGTGAGTATCTAACTGTGATTCGCTAAGAACAAAAAATAAAAATAATTGAATAAATAAACAGGGAGGACGATGACAACAATAAGGATGAAGATGGTGATGATGATATAGATAATAACATTAATGATAATAATAATACACTAACAATACAACTACTACTACAACTAATACAAATGATGATTATGAAATGATACCAAATACATTCCCAGTTCTAATCTGTTTTGAATGTGATTTATTATATTATTGTATTAACTATTATCATTATTATCAGTATTATTATTATTATTTTTTAAATTATTATTATCAATATCATTATTATCATTATCAATTTATCACTGTGACCATTATTGCTATTGTTGTTGTATATTATTATTAATCATTATTATCATCATCATTATTATATCCATGACAGCGTTTCACTTGTCGGTGATTTATCCTTTAACGGCCGTGGACCCGGTTGTGGAAGGCTAAATGCCTCTGAAGTGAACTTTCAGTGGTCCGTTTCTGGTGCTCAGTTTGAAGAGGGCGTCCTAAATACGAATAAACGAGGACTCCGGTTTCCACCAAGATCTTTACCCGGTATGTAATCAACTTAAGCTGATCCAAATCTCATTTATTGTTTGTTGGATGAACAAGAAAAGAATCGTGATTAATGTAGACTCACTCCATCTCAGAATTATTGTTATGATTTGTGTTTGTGTGTGTGTCTGTTGGTCATCAGGTACACACTTTGATCACTGGGACCTTGACCGTAAAATATGGAGCGGATGACCCTAAGACCTCGTCGAAGACGGCAGCATTTATAACGGCCTACACATTTTTTTGTCTTCACATTGTAGCGCCCTCTAATTTACCAGAATATATTCATGTTCTACTAGACAACTAGGACACAAATAGATAACTACCACCTTGACCGTGACCTATGGAGATGATAACCCCACGACCTCGCCCAAGGCGGCAATATTTATTACGGCATTCAATTTTTGTTTCATATTGCAGCGCCCTGAAATGTCACGAGAATACATTTATGTTTTACCTGACAAATAGGAAACGCAGAGATCACCGCGACCTTGACTGTGACCTATGAAACTGATAACCCCACGACCTCGCCCAAGAAGGCAACGATTTTAGGACTTATAAAACTCTTTTTCAGAATTAAATTTCACCAGAATACATTTATGTTTTACTAGACAACCAGGACACACAGAGATCACTGCAACCTTGACTGTGACCTATGAAGCAGATAACCCCCTGACCTCGTCCAAAAAGGCGATATTAACTTTGACCTACACAACTCTTTTTCCAAATCAAATTTTACCAGATTGAATTTATCTTCTACTTGACATCCAGGTAACACGGAGATCACTGCGACCTTGACTGTGACCTAAGAAGCTGATAACCCCACGACCTCGCCAAAGAAGGCAATATTAGATACGACCTACATTGTTTTTTCTTTAGAATTAAATTACACCAGATTGATTTTATGTTTTACTTGACACACAGGAGACACGGAGATCACTGCGACCTTGACGCTGACCTATATGGCTAATACTCAAGTGACCTTGACCCGTACAGTGACCTTCACCACGGCCTTTGAACCCCTCGTGGCACGTATCAAAGGTGGTGAACGCATAACCACTGGAGAGGCTTCCAGTCCCTTCGACCTAGATTGCTCGCTGTCCAGAGATCCAAACTATAATGGCGATGAACCTGATGAGGGACTTATGTTTCGATGGGGCTGTTGGCAGGTAGGTCATGTGATCATTTTCAGCCAATAGCACGCTTTCTTGTTCTTTCTTGTTCAGTGACTTGCATAGGTATGGTCTCGCCTTTGAGAGACGCTGCTGGCACGATGATCATGATATTAAATTATATTATAGATTCAATCAGAACTCGATGCCATATTGCAATGGCTTAAAAAGCGAAAACCTTCCGGAGAAATGAACAAATCACCGTCTTAAATACCACCGTAAGCATCACATAATGCTAAACACGAGCAGCCAATATAGCATCGACTTTAATTTATTTATGATGAAAGTAGCAGTAGGTTTTATCTGGTATATAAAGTAATATGATTTTAATGACATAACTTATTGTTACTTCCTTGATTCTTTAAGGAGACTGATAAAACCGGATGCAACCCTACGTACCCATCAACGGAAGCTGTTTTGACTGTTGACCCTTCCGCGTTGACAGCTGGGAAGGCCTATTCTTTCTCTTGCTACGTCACAAAGGCCGAGTTTGACGGTGAAGTACATAGCAGTGTGACGGTCGATGTTACGGAAAACAATCCACCTCTGGTAAAGTTTTACATGTATAATGATATACCATATAGTCATATATATTAACTATTTGCTGAATAGCATAGTAATTGAGACGAATACATTTTTTTACCTATAATATTACGAAATAATTTTAAACATACATTTTCGATTATAAATATGAAGCTCAGAATCAAATAGTTATGCAGGTCGCTCAGACGAATTAATTTAGAAGAAAATCTAATGGGGATACAAATACATCCCATGTAGATTACTTTACGTATCTCTTTCCAAATCTGAATAACATTTTTTTTTTTTTTTGGGGGGGGGGGATATCCTTTAAATATGGATATATTCTGTATCTTGCATTGTTTACTGCAATATGTCCAACTACAATATTTATACATCTCTAACAATTTATTTCTAACTAGATGTATACATCATAATGTTTTCGTTTGAATGATGTTATACCTTGATTTAACTGTTATCCGATACTTTTCAGGGGGGGATAGGGAGTCCTTATTTGACGACTCAATTTTTAAAGAACAGTTATGTTCAAAGAATGACCTCTCCTTTGTCATCGCGTCTTCAGAGATATTCGAAGGTGAAAAGGGACATGCATTATAAACCTTTCGGCTGTTTGTGTTGCCTCTCTGCACGAGAGTTCGTTTACCACATGTGCAGTTTCGCCCAAAACAAAAATAGTGAGAATAGTATTGATGCTGATAAGGATTATCTTGGTATTAATTATATCATCATTATTATTGCCATCGTCATCACCATCATTATCATAGTAGTAGTAGTAGTAGTAGTAGAAGCATTAAGATAGTTGAACCATAAGCCTTAAAATCACCATAATAATACTTTCCACTCATTTTATTTGTTACTATCTTCCTCTCCCCCTTCATGTTTTTCCTACTTTACAAAATTGCTTCACTTGCACTGACAGATTTCGCTGGCCCTGCTCCAATCGAAGGACGGATCTTACAGACCGAGGAGAGACATAGAGATACGGGCCAACGTCAGGGGTGATGACATCAGCGAAATGAGTTGGGAGGACGTAGGTGGCGGTCTTGATGGATTGGGGGAAGACGAATTCACGGAGTTCAAAGACGTAACACAGACGGATGCAGAGACAACATTAACTACTTCCGAGGTCACACGTTCATCTAAGCCATATACTGTCAGGTTCGGACAGTACTACTCTCTTCTGAAAATTAACAACGGTATGTAAAATGAAGCCTAATGCTGAATGATTAACCTTTCGGTTGCTTTCTCTGCCATTTTACACGGTCGCTCCATGGACACACGTGCATTGTCGCACAAAATGGCGGGCACCGAATGAGGAAAAGGTTGCTTTCTTGAAACACAAATGGTTAGCAAATTATTAATTTCCAGTCTTGGTTAGCTCCAAAACAACCGCTTAAAACAAGTATAAAAAATCGGAGCACAAACACAACATAAAACATATTGTATGTTTTTCATTCTCTCTCTTTCTCTCTGGGTTTCTGCCATATCTTCTCTTTCTCTATGTTCATGGTGCTATTCACCCTATCTGATTAGGATGGTTATAATGACATTATTTTCCTTCTTCATTTACTTACTCTTTTTTTTCTTCTTATTCTTCCTTTTCGTTTGCCTTCTACAGCAACCCTCGAAGCCGGTTCTCAGTATAGTGTACAGTTTAGCGCCCTCAACGGGGAAGATACGGGTTCTTCAACAATTGACTTCCAGGTTCTTGGAAAGGTAACTGGTTGCCAGTTTGAGTTTGGTGGAGACGACACGTACGTGGACACTGCTTCCGACGTAAGTCTAACCTATGTTCATAAAACTATTTGTCCATAAAGATAAAGGTGTGTTCTGGTAATGCGATTGCATTGTGAAAGAAAAGGTGTGGAATAGATCAGGAAAGGTTGATCATTTAGCATGTAAGTATTGGTGTGCACTGCAAGGTTATGGAGTCATCAAAATCTTAATAAATTTGGCCCAGTCTTAAAAGTAACAAACACTGTACACAGAAAGATATATGGGACTACACAAATGGTGTCGGGGCTACGTACCTTGATTTTCCTTATCTATCATTGCTCATTACTCAGCCAATATACATTTTCTTCATGAATTGTTTGGCACATGACATTTATTTGTAATCTTGAACATTCAGCGTAAGTTTCGTTTGATTCTGTGAGAATTCATTTTTTTTTTTACCAGAACTCAAGTTTATCTTTAATATTTGACACTTACGTCGGATATGATTTTAGATTGTCATAATTGCTCTCTTTAATACTGACTTCGACACAGTCTTTTACACTGACCTGGCCAATGGTTCAACACTGCCTCAGACCCTAAACTCATTTATAGACATAAAACTAATTTAACTTATTTTAGAAATCATTTCATACCGTCTTTAACTCTCTCTTTGACACTGTCTTTCATACCTTTATTAGCACTCTCTTTAATACTGTCTTTGATATTTATGTATTTCTTTTTTCAGGTTTTAATTAAAATAGAGTGAATCAGAAACAACTGCTTTCCAATTGCGCCCTCTATTGTATTTGACAGTGTCTTTGACGCTATCTGTTGCACAATCTTTGGCACTGCTGTTTATACCATCATTGATTTTCTCTTTAACACTGTCTTTCAAACTATCTTTTACACTATATTTGACACCGTATTTGGCACTTACTTTGAACCTGCCTTTCATACCATCAGGCCTAACAAAAAAGATGTTGTATTGCCCTTTCGGTGCCAAGACATGTGTCGGTCGGTCGGAAATCCTTTTTTTTCTTCCTTTTTTTTTCTCTCCCTCTTTTGGCTGATATTTCTCAGTGTTTACAAAAAAGAAATAATTAAAAAGCCAACCGTAGATTTAAAAACTTGTGGGTCTGTCAAAAAGGGCAATACAACATCTTTGTTAAACGCCTCATGGAATTTATCGTCACTAATGTCTTTGATACTGTCTTTGCACTGTATTTGATAACGTCTTTGCCTCTCTTTCTTTTGCAATGTATTTAACACCATCTTTGACAAACTCTTTAACACTATATGACACTGTCCGTGGCACTGTCTTTTACACAATCTGTCACACTGAATTTAACAAATTCTGTGACACAATATGTGACACTTTCTTTGATCATTGCTCTGTCTCAGATACTTGCTCTGTCTCAGATACCGTCTATTTGAAACTTCTGCTATCTTTGAACCTTTGTTTGTTTCGAATCCAGATGAAATAAACTGTTCTTGACACTGTATTGACAACGTCTTTGTCCTTCACTCTTTTGCCGTTAAAACTATACTTGACAGTGTCTTTGAAACTGTCCGTCTTACGATCATTGACACTGACTTTAACACGTTTTTGACAACATCTGGGCCTCGTTTCATAACACTTTCCATTGATGGTAACTTTTACATCAATGGCAACTACCATGATAACAGGGCTCAACAGCCAATCAAAATCAAGGTTTCCACGGTAGTTACCATTGATGGCAAAGTTACCATCAATGGTAAGTTTTTTTGCAACGTGGCCCTGTCTTGCTTTGATACTGGCTCTGTCCCTGATATTCTATTTGAAACTACCCCTCCTATATTATCTGTTGAAACTGTTTTTATCAAATCCAGGTGATGTACACTGTCCAGTCATGTTCTGCAGATGAGGACAAGGTCCTTACTTACCAGGCCTTTGCTCAGGTATCCCTAGAGGACGGGCAGAACTCTCTGCGTCTCCTCGGTCAGACCTCGGAGATGCCAGAGCTCCAGGTTGACCACGACGTCTATGATAAGGTCAAGAGCAAGATAGAAGCCGGTGACACAGTGCCTTTCAAAGTCGGTGTTAGGGTAAGCACTAATATTCACGACTCTTCCCCTATTAAGTTAAATAAAGAAATCCATCGACAATATTCAAGTTTTCTGAGTTATTGGACAAATAATGGCAGAATGAAAGCATTATTTGGCGGATAAACGATGTATTAAAGCCCCACTGTCCTGCTTGTAGCTACTTGCGCCAGCTATATAGCAAACAATGCATAATCGGTGACCATTGGTCCTCTTTTTCTTTTGTTAATTGAGAGCTTATTTGATGAGATAACCACCTGTCAGTGACCTTGCAGGGAGGTATAATCCCTTCTGGCTGAAATAGTGCGGTATGGCTTTAATTTAAAATATTGAACCCATCGACAATATTTGAGTTATTGGAAAAATAATGGCAGAATTAAAGCAATAATTATGTGGCGGATAAACGAATAAATAGAATAAGCCACTTAGTAGGTCCAAAGCTCTATTCCTAGTGCTAGTTTACATTGTTTCTGGAAACTTTGCATTCATTGGATGAGTTTAGTCGTACCCGGCTACTTAGAGGCACGTTCAGGTATGACGAGTCAAGACCGTTTAAATTGTGTTCCTCTTCTCTAATGACAACGCAAAAGGTAATACGGTTCACATGTATGTATCTTAAACATAACGCAAAATACGCGTAGGACTTTTGTTGCGCGTAGTTGTGGTATACGTTTTTTTCCCTTTTTTTTTCCTTGCCTGTTTACCAAGTCAAATAATGGTCACCTAATGGTTATAATATTTCAAATGAAACCTATTTATCTGTGTTTTTTTGTATCTACTCCTCGACCTGCATAGGTATGCTACCAGCTGACCAAAGTATGTGCGGATTTCACGAAAGATGTGACGTATGCCCACCAACCCCTAACGGCGGAAGACATCGATGACAAGAAGGAGGAAATTAACGATTTGAAGAACGAAGGTACTTATTACTTGTGAATCGCCGTTTAGTCTACACCTAGTTCGCCTACTACCCAATTAGTTTATTTCAATGTGATCTTTTGCGCTCTTAGTCTGTTTTCAAGTCGATCCAATTTGATGATTTCAAATGATTTCAAATTATCTTAAATCTCATGCAAAACATAATACAATGAATAATTATATTACAAAACATATGCAATGAAACGACAAATATAATGGAAAAAGCACGAGCAAAGAGGAACTAACTGGAAGCAGAGCTTGTTGAAGTGTTAGTTCCAGTTCATCTAATGCTCATTTTGTCTACTATCCATTTGATCAAAACATCATTTATAACCATAAATACTAATAATCATCACATGATATAGAGTACCGAAGCTGTGACGTCATAAAAGTCTATTTTTAGAATTTCTCAATTTTTTCTTCATATTCCGAAAGAACATAAAAAATAATGTCCAAATGTCAAAAACCAATTGAATATGTTAAGTATTGGTTGAGATATGACCATCTGAATAAATATACTCCCCATAGGAACTCAGTGGTTAGGAGCCAGAGCATATAACACTGAGTTCCCATAGGACATATATTCATTCAGATGGTCATATCTCAACCAATACTTAACATATTCAATTAGTTTTCGACATTTGGACATTATTTTTTATGTTCTTTCGGAATAAGAAGAAAAAAATGAGAAATTCTAAAAATAGATTTTTGATGACGTCACACTTCACCACTCTATTGGACCTTATGGATGTAAGTCAAAAAAGGCATCAAACCAACTTAGAATTAGACTAACTGGTTAATAATCCAAATAAAAACAAACACCAAATGATTATTAGACCATGCGGATAGTATTAGTATAGTATTAGTCTTAATGTTATTTATTCGGCACTTTCAAGAAATATAACAATTAAACGATATAAACATGGTAAATACAAAATTGGGATGACAAAAACTGTGCACATACAAATTTTTGTAGCAATATTCTGAGTGCAAAAGATGGCGGCCAGGGAAGAAGAGAGCAAACCTAATTACTGTAAACCGTAAAGGTCCCTCCGCCCAATGAACTGATGCACTCAGAAGACTGGTAAAAAATACCATAAGGACAAATAAGAGAGTAACAAATCAAGGATAAACAATAAGAATATGATATATATATAAGGATAGTACACAGGCGTGATGTAAACCAAATGGGAAAAGACTTATTGGGTAAAAGGCGAACTGGTTGTAGACGAAACAGCAATAAACTTGTCTGAATACCCTTGACCATTTCAATACATGCATTCCACATGTTGTAGTTTTGTTCAATAACTGTTGATTTAGAGCCCGAGAAATATAGTAGATAGATAACTAGAAAATGCAATAATCTCTGTCCACATGTATTATTTGTGGAGAAATCGAATTGATTCTGAACTATAACGTACTATCATCCACATTTTTATTTTTCGTAGGACGACCGGTGGAAGGACTTAAAACAGCGAACAGCGCGCAGAAGGCTAGCGCCGACTTGTCTACTGAAGCCGCACGGAAGAGACGAGCAGCAATAGTAATATTTTGTTTTAATTCTTTATTAATTTTTACTCAGTCAATAATGAATTAAAGAAAAGAGCGGTCAGGGGAAAGACTTATCTTATAATATTATTACTGATAAAGATGATGTTGCTGATGATAACTATGATGACGATGATGATAATATGATTATAATGACAACAGTAGTAGTAGTAATAATGATAATAATAATGAGAATAACAGAAATTTAATGATCATTGTAGTAAAAATGTTGATAATAATACATGTACTAATCTTTAGAACACCGTCAAGGATATGTACGTTTTTTTTTAAGTGCTCTTCGGAAATATGTTAATCGTGGTCATTATATTCAGGCTCTATTATTGTTTTCAATGTTGTTTCTCCTTCATCATTATATTATGTTTTATTTATTAATGTGTTTATATATCAATATATTTACTTTCTTATTTAGTTATTTATTCATTTATTTACTTTTTGTTGATTTTTGTATCTATTCAATCATCTATAAATATATATATATATATACATTTCGTCAGCTCCCAGCAAGAACGGATAACTCGTACGGCTTCCTTTATCTATTAAGAACAAAAACTTTCTCAGCATTATAATTGTAATCATTCTCATTATCACTGCTATTATTATTTTCATTATTATTATTATTTCAGAGCTTTGACCAGACCTTACTGGAATTGCAAAAGGAACTACTGATCCTTGCTGCTGGGGACCAGAGCAATTATGACGGCTACCCTGGCGATGTTCTATCAATGGTGGATGCGGCCATGGACGTACCTATCCCCGCATACCAACGGGAAGAGATAAGTACGTGTTTAAAAATCCGACAGAAAATAAGAAAGGTTGTTATTTTATATTTGGCATGATGGGGTAGGAGTGTTTTGCTTTAAATATTTAATGGCTGCCACAACAATTTTATCGTGGCGCCTAGAAATATAGATTTAGACCTGTTGAAATTTTACTTCTTCGTCATATTGTTCTACTTCTTCTTTTTCTTCTTCTGCTTCTAATTTTTTGTGTTTTCTTCTCATTTTCATTATTTTCATTAAAAATATTATCATTGTGATTATTAGTGGTACTACTACTATTTTATTCATTTGTAATATTTTGTCTGGGTAGCCCATTGAACAATAAGTAGTGGTCCTCCATGTGGTCCTGAATAATTATGAACATATTTCCATAACGTTTATACAGAACAGTTAAAATAAAATTCCATAGTACGTGTAGAAAGATATAACACAGCAAACACCGAATACTCGTTTGCAAAGTAATCATATTAAACCTGGTTCAACTGTAATGCCAATAGGAAAATATTGATTAAGTCGCTATTGTGTGCATAAATCATAAATCAGAATACGTACGTAAATGATTAAATGATTAAACGACCAACTGAACAAATTAAATTGATTTAATCTCCATCTTAATTTTCTCTTTAGGGGGTATACTGGACGCACAAAGGAATGTGCTTCAATCAGCGAAGGATCTTGACGACCGCTTACCGCAGGAGACCATTGATGGGGTTCGCCAGCAGCTGGAGGATGCCAAAATAGCATTCCCGGACAGCGTGTTCTTCACGGAGAACAGGTAAACATCGCAGTCGGGTTTAATGAAAATGGTGTCCATACTCAAGTTAATTGATTTATTTGTAATACGTCAATACTGGTGATCACACTAACGGTTATGGTGAACATGATTTGATTAGGATGGTTATTGTGGTGACGATGGTGATGAAATATAATGATGATGATATCAATGGAGATAATAGGAGGGGGATGATGAACATAGTTATGATGTTATTGGTGAAAATGCAACTACTACTACTAGATGTACTACTACTACTACTACCACTACTACTACTACTACTACTACTACTACTACCACTATTAGCCTACTACTACTACTTACTACTACTACTACTACTACCACCACCACTATTAGACTGCTACTACTACTACTACTACTACTACAACTATTAGCATGCTACTATTTATACTACTACTACTACTACTACTACTATTACTACTACTACTACTACTACTACTACTACTACTACCACTAATATAATGCTGCTACTGAGGTTATGAAAGTTAACGTTTTGTTCACTTTTCTATCGTATGTGGATTCTTTATTTTTAAATTGTTTTATCAGAGAAATTCTTGGACTGCTTTCAAAGTGCATGGGCAAGAACCTGGCAACCGGTGAAAGAATTTCATCATACGGTGATGACATTTTGATTACTATCGAGGCCACACTCAATATCGATCCCATAATGATACCTAAGGGCGATGGCTCTATCACCTTCAAAGGTGGGGATGACGTCAGAAATAGGTGAGTTTATCTTGTTAAAAAAAATCTAGTTATGTTAGTTCGTTCGCGTGTTTGTTCTCTGGCTTCATTTTCAGTTCGTCATATATTATGTAGTGCATATCTCTCGTTTTGTTATCAAATTAATTTTTTATATCATTTCTTTAGTGAATAGTTCCTTGCTTATGATTACACAATATCACTTAATATTCTTCTTCTTCTTCTTCCCCTCCTTCTTTTTCTTCTTCTTCATCATCATTTTCTTCTTCTTCTCCCACTCTCTGAATATATCGTATGTGTTTATGTCTGTTAAGCGGGGAAAAGCAGGAACACTTTTTCACCCAAAGTTCCGTACATGTCACACTAAGTATCATGCAATTGTTCTATGACCCTTCTGTTGCCATAGATACGACACCTCGTGGGAGGGATGCGGATGCGAGGAGTGCGTAGGAGTTCTGGTTGAATTCTTCATCTACCGCGGCCAAGACTACGTGGCCGGTGAGTCACATGACAGTGACGTCATCGGGATGCAGTTCGTCAATCCTTGCACAGGTGAGAAAATACTAATGGAAATAATAATGATCGTAATAAATGCTTTAACCCTCCTCCCTCACTTAAAGGTACAATGTGATATTTGCAGGCTAAACAAATGAAAACGTTAAACTTAAATGGCATTTAAAATATAATACTAATTTAGAACTTCCTTTTAAACGAAAAAAATGTTGGAAAATAACGACCGTTAGTTGTCGAATCAACTTTAAGGATTGCAGTCGTTTAATGTAATATAATTTTGGACCGAAAGGTCGTATGTTTTGTGTTGCGCAAAGATCGAGTTTAATTTTGGTCATTACAAGAAGTCGGCTATTGATGTAGGCAAATACTCATGTACCATTTACTGCTAACTGTATGTATGTTTTTATAAAAGAAAACAAAAAGTCGCTCATTAGTTCCTAACAAAGAATTGCATAATTTTGAATACTAGGACCCTGCTTACGTTTAAATTTCACACATAGGACGTACGTGAAATATTCATAATTCCTGCAAAGTTCTGAAGAATTTGATGCTGGCTGCAAAAGGAATACAGCACCTTTAAGCAAGGATAATCTCGTATAAATGGACTTCCCCATGTTAAAAAATAATTTTCGTACATCGGGGGTCAATTGCGCCATGGGTTCTTTACAACTTGGTCTTTTCATTCTCTTGCACAGGCGACCCGATGGAAGTGCGCGATCTTTACGACCCCGCAACCATATCAATCCCCTTCTCATCCCCCTGGCCGTCCACGACCCGCCCCGTCTGCTCGTATTACAATGACACCAACATGGAATGGAGCCAAGACGGTGTGCAGACAGTCGTCGATGGGATGGATGTCCGTTGCGAAACCAATCATACCACAGAATACGTGATCGATTTTGTCATCGAGGATGGCGCTGTAGCGGAACCCACACCAACCACCTCCACTAGAGGTGAATTTGATAGTTTGAATTGTTTATTTTGAGAGTAGTAAACAAAATGGCGATCATCATTTATGATTATGTTGATAATGATGAACGTGATTATGACGATGATGTTAATAATAGCAGTAATTATACTAAAAGTAATAATGATATTAACAATAACATTAATACTACTACCAATAAAAACAATACTTACCATAACCATGTTCATCATGATCGTCATCATCCTTGTATTGGCAATATAATTATATAATATAGTAATGTTCAGAATATAACAAATAATAAGGTTAATACGAAGAATGAAGAATATTAAGAAGAAGATAATAATAATAAGAATAAAAGAAGAATGAAAATAAAATGATAAAGAAAAAGAAGACGAAGAATGGTAGAAAAACAAACTCTAAATATAAGAAAAACAGAAAGATGGCAATTATGATGTGTTAGTAATTTTTTGGGGGACTAGCAAACAGCTCGAGATTGCATGTGTTCTTTACCTATATCTCTCCCCCTCCCTCAAGTAAAACGAGATTTTGATACTATTTTTGGTGCCTTTAATATTATTCGGCCGGATATGAGCACAACGTAAAGTTATCTATATTCATATAAATCTGCTATTACAAATCATTATATCATGTGAATTATGACTAATCATTCCGAAATTTGTTCTGATCCTCAGGAGATGACATGACCACTCTCGAAGACGACGACGACGATGATGACGACGACCAAATCCCTGGACTGACTGCTCTGCTGGGCATGGGTATAGGCGTGATTGTCGGCATCGTTGTCGGAGCCATTGTCGTTCTCGCCATCATCGTCATCCTTATCGTAGTCGTCCTCAAGAACGTGAACAAGCCCAAGATGATGGTCTCACCCGTCGTCAAGGCATAAATTCTCATCAATTCTTCTTTCTTTTGTTCTTACTATATTCCGTATTTCCTTACTTTGCTCCCTACAAATGTATTCACATTTCTTTCGTATATGTTGACGATTCGAAAGTGCTAAGTTTACAACTAAAGTAGCCCCCCCCCTTAATACGTTTACAGGCACACAACTCATGTTAGTCCCTGAGCGTAACAATTATGCAGCCCATAATAGTGAGACTATGCTGACGTCATAATCTAAAGGCTCTAACTGAACTGTTTGACAGACAGAGACTGCCAGATATAGGCTCTGAACAAGGCTTCATGAGTTGTGTGAAAAAATGTCCGATATGATTCTTTGCTTTCAGACAACCCGGCCCCCTCCCACTTTCTTAATGTTGTCCTTTTCCCTGCATCTTTCATTTTATATATAATCGTTGGTGTGCCCTTTTCCTTCACCCTCTTACTTCATTTATATCATTACTCAATTACTTTATATTTGTAATTTTTTTTTTTTTTGTATGTTTGTTTGTTTTTCAACCGTTACCATTGGTTAATTGTATGAATGTTATCATAAGATTTAATATTACTAAAGCTGTTTTCGGAGAATCGTTTTTGTTATTTAAAGCTTGTGAACAAATTGCATACAATGAAATCTTGAAGTAAAACCTCTATGGTACTTTGTAGTGATATTTGCTCTGATTAATGTGAAGGTTACTTTGGAAAAGAAGTTCATGGTAAAGCAGCTTTAGAACGAAGGGCTTAAGAGGGGAAGTAAGAGTATGGCGGCACTGAGTACAACTTTATAAGCGTGAAGATAACACCGATTTAACCAAATGTACATTATCCACTGTTCTTTTGGGTGATTGAGAGAGGAAGGAAGAGAACAAAATGAGAAAGATGTAAATATTTATATTTTTGCACAGAGAGGGATATGGTAGTTATATATTGTACACAACAGAAGAAAGAAAGACGAGTTTGCTAGAAATTATATGTATCAAACCAATTTATTATGGTTCGAATTATGTTTTCATGCAAAACATTGTTTTAATGTCATCACTTTATCAATCACCTTGAAAATGACATCTTTACCGATGTTTTTTGTATATAAATATCATCGTTTCGTTTGTTTGATGTGTAAAATGCAGTGCATTTACTATTTTCTATTCTTAAAAAGAATTGTAATAACTTATGTTTGAAATATATATTTTGGCATGTATATACTTCATGAGCAGTTGTATTTTACAAATATGTATGACGTCATCACTATTTGAGACACCTTGAATTATTAATAATTTCATGTCTTTCTTTCCCAAAAATGCATTTTAATTTTTTATAATGAATTGCATTAGTTTGGGTTATGATAGGTTAGTATCTGTATTTGTATTGTAAAGTGGAGGTCTCGTGGTATAGTTGATTCGTCACCAGACTGTTGATCACGTGGCCCGCTGATCGAGTCCCGCATTAATAATATCATTTACAAAGTCATTAATCTACATCTACACCCGGTAGGATGCGCACATTAGTATGGTCGGATTAGCATGTGTGCGCTTGTAAAATGGCGCCTACCCCGAATGCTCCCCAGGGAATGGAGCGTGTACACTACCATGTACGGATTAGCAATTGAATCCAATAACCGGGGTAATAAGTATTACAATGTAAAGCACTTAAAGTAGTATAAACTGCTATACAATTGTGACTAATATTATTTTTTTAACAGGGATGACATGTAATTTTTTATTTTTGTCACTTGGCATTTGTCGTACCCCGGGAAAGTTATAAATAAATATAGAGCTTTGTCTGACGTCTTGGCAGCTATATTTCACCACTAATTATTATTATTTGTGTGCCAGTATGTACCACTAAAAGCTGATCAATAAGATGTGTTATACAGGGTATCCGCGGATGTTTAGAAAACTTCGACACACTAACATTTTGCTCGGTCATTTATAATTGCTTTAAACATATCCTTCGAGTCTTAAGGTAATCCAGAGTCCTTTAAAATAAAGAAACGCAATTTCCACGAATGTTTTTTACATCATTTTATTATACCGACTGGTACTTAAAACAAGGTAGGTGCAATCTTATTATAAAGTCATGTTAAGTTGATTTAAAAGCCCTCTGATGCAAATGAATTTCCCGAAAGATGATTAGAAGACTATTTACGTGTTACATTTTCAAATTATCTGATCATTTATGTTCGTTAGATTGCGTGTAATTAGATCGTTTTGGAATCTGTGGTTTGATAATTGTATGAAATAACAATGAAGCAAATTTTGCATTGTCTAAAAACCCGAAAGTCTTTCAAGAAAAGGGATAACTTTAGTCTGTTGTTGATTAGAAAACCGTTCTGGTAAATGTGATTTAAGTAATAATTGTAACAAAAGTAAATATATGTAGTAGGCACTAATATTAGAACACTAATAAACAATGTAAGGATTGTAATCGTAATTTAAATATATATATATATATATATATATATATATATATATATATATATATAAATGTTTACATTGAACTGTAATAATGCTCACTTTAATGCTATAATGGCATACATGTATGTTGCAGGGACTAAATCTCAGTAGCAAATATTGTTTTAACACACAAATCAGAGAGCATTTTGTACGAGCTCTTTTTTGGTTTGGGTAAATGCACTTTCAAATGGCACTCGGTTTAATCATTACATTGTCACTGAAATCATTGATCCCCATGCCTGCACTTTTGTTAATTTGTATGAAATTCATCACATGCTATTTATAATGTTATTATTAATTTGTTAACAATTCTTGCTGATTGCAATTATGAAGTTGCCTTAATCTCGCTTATGTCTTTCAAACGTAAGATCTTAAGAAGAACATTTGCAATAACTGATTAATGAAGTTTGATATAGATTGTGTGTATGTAGATTTAAATTGTAAATCTAATATGTAAACTTGTTTACTTCACTTTCCTTTATTTTTGTTAATACACAAGTTCCACACACATAACAATATATTCCATAGGAAATATGTTATGATAAATAAATCTGGTCTTATTATCTATTTTCAAATACAGATTGAGCAAGGATGTTGCCAAAACCTGCTCAATAGAAATTCGTCCCATTAAGCTTTTTTTCAAATTTGATCATTATGTAATTGATAAAACACTATCTAAATCATTTAATAATTTGGGTCATCTAGTATTAAACATTTATTCAAAAATAATTAAAATTCAGTTTTTCGGTCCTGTAACTAGTTAAATATACTTGTTCATGCTTATTTTTTACTTTGTAAAGCGCATAGAGAAAATTTCGTTTCTCCTGCGCTTATAAATCAATCTTTAATATTATTATTATAATCTAACATACAAATATTAGAGAGTTTATCACCTATTCGTTCAAATTTCAGACACATTCCCTTAGAATAAGTAATCATCATTAAAATCCAAACTAATTAAAGCTTTTCTGTACTAGTTTACAGGAGGGATTAGACCGCCCTGCAAGGTCACATGACAGGTGGTTATCTCATCAAATCAGCTCTCAATTGACATAAGAAAAAAAGGATCATGGGGACCAATTGTCACCTATTAGGCATTGTTTGTTATATAGAGGGCGCAAGTAGCTACAAGTAGTGCAGTGGGCCATTAACTCAACAAAAGAAGAATAATTACTCATGCGTGAAAAACACTTTGTATATTTTGTATCTTCCTTCATGTTTACGCTGACGTGGTTATATCTGAAATATTTTGCATTTTCTTGAGATCACTTTTACTTTTTTCGTGGTTTTTAAGTTTTGGCAAATGAGAGTTATTTTGTGTGCATCGATGTGTTAACTGTTCTTGTATCATAGCCCGCCATTTTAAGAGATACAAAACTGGGGGAAACAAATGTAGGCTTGATAAGCACGTAATTTGCCTTAAACAGTCAAACGAGGGATAAAATTAAAGTAGACTTTGATTATTGCAACCATTATGACGAACACAGAATTTGGGTGAATCCCCGAACAGATATGATAAGATATCATAAATTATGTTTAATATCTCAAAGGATACATGCAAGACCTCAGTGTACAGTGTATATCAAGTTGCATTGTCGAAGGATCATTTGCTGTTTTTGTCTTTTTTGTAGTAAAACTATTTGCGTCTGATTGTGTTTTTGTTTTCAAAGACCCACTGAAATTGACTAGAAAGTACGCCTTTTAAAACCAAGCATGAACAACAATTTATTCGTATTGTTTTTCGAGCGTTTTATCAAGTTATTACAAGCTATGGCTAAGTTCATACGTCACCCTATTTTATAATAAAATGAATCAGCAAAGTCTCCACAACAAATTAAAAATATATATCGTGCATCGATTGGTAATGATTTTATTGAAAAACATCAAATTTTGAGAAATCGGAGTCCTATAAGAGTCATATAATTTGTATGAAAGTTAATTTATATCATGGCTTAAAAGAAATGTTTGTGTTTGTTTGAGGTGGAAGCAAAAATAAATAAGAGTACATTACGTTGAACTAAGTCTTGTGTAATGATGAAGATCACTTTGGGTCCTGTTGATGAAAATTGTCATTATGATTGCAAAATCAAAATTAATTATCAACATTTCTTTCAAAAACAGGCTTTCCTGATCTCTTAAGAACAAAAACTGTCTCCGAGTAACATTTTAAAGAAATTCCCCAAGTTTTAATATGATTTCCAATGTCTTTTTTGCCAAGCTCATGCCAATATATAATTCGACCAAAACAAACTCGGACCATTCACATCGTCGAAAAGTACAATACTACTATTATTATTATAATTTTTATAATTATTATGATGATTGTTATTATTATTATTGATATGAATATTACTGTTATTATCATGTTTTATTATTTTTTACTATGATTCTATTGTTGTTATTACTGCTCTTATCATCAATATTGAAATTAACATTATTATTGTAATTATTGTGAATTACACTGAAAAGGGATCATCAAATGGACTCAAAATGATCTTTGAATACTAAAAATAAAAAACTTTTAAGTAATACATTTAAATTGAAAATTATTGTAATAGCAAAACTAATTAATACTTAAATGGTGGTGTGTTTCTGACAGGATGCAAATAAATTTTCAGCACGCTTTATTCACTGGTTGTCATCTTGTGTGCTGTTTGTGTACTAAATATGTCGTTACATATGCACCATTTAAAATATAATCAATAACGCAATAACAATTAAACTAAACTGAAGCCAATGTTTTTAAAGTGGGTTTAATCCAAAAAGATTCACAGAACTAACCGAACATGAAGATAAAAGCAAAATAAAAAGCATGCAACTAATAAACTTTACTTCTTGTCAATATATAATTGGATTATGGTGTCTTTTTAGGTGATCTATGTACACATCGGTGATTTTGTACTATAAAAATGGCATTTTGAAATCACGTCACGATGTCCTGCAAAACAATGACAATGTCTACTTAATGACTCCCTTTTTCCAATTCATATGTCAGTCTAACGACGCCTTAATTAAAATATAATATTTTATATATACATGTATATGTATATCAACCTTTACAAAAGGAGGAACTTTGATAAAGCTACGCACCATTATTCTCTTATTTTCATTTATCACCATTGTTTATTTCATTTTAAACTTAGTCGACAATGTTTATTGCATCCGTCAAATTCTTTTCATTTTACAAATGCACAAACTCACCATATAACCCCACCAAAATACACACAAAATATATATACAGAACATCCCTCAGAACCAAAACATAAAAAAAACTTTGTTTGGGAATCACTCAATAATTCAAAATCTGTTTTCAATAACTAGTACAACGCTGAAAAGCTCATTTGCTTCTCTTTCAATTACACATGGCCAATTTAAGATATTATGAACAAGAAGTGTCATTAGCCCTGAAAAAAACGAATGACTGCTACATTTGGTTCATATTGCTTTTATAAAGAAGAAAAAAACAATTATTGAATTATTTATCATTGAAAATACAGATCATTTAAAGGCGAATAATCTCAACTTTCAGTTGGCGCCTTATTAATATTGGCTCCAAATATTACATTTGCAAAGAGATTTGCAAATATATATATATATATGGTTCACAAGTTGAAATACTAAACTCTCTATTGACATGAAACCGATTTGTGATTAGATTACTCAACGCAGCCTCAAATGCTCGCTGAAATTGGTGCACGCCAGAAACCAAGTCTATCTTGGGTTCCCCGTGAGCGGTTTCATGTTATTTAATTTTCTTTAAATTCCTAATCCCGATGTCTATATAAAAAAAATGTAAATAAATTGTGATATAAACATTGAATTTCGTTATTTTTAAATGATAGTAATAAAGGCAAACATAACGTCTGGCTTTATTATCCAAAATTATACTTAAGTGGATATAAGATACCCACAACTGAAAGCATAAATAACCAAACTAAATGCTTATTTATTGAATATATGTACAAAAGCCATGCTGAGTCTCGAAACAGTCTTGCATCCACACTTCTACACCAAAAATATCTATATGTCATCAACATTTATTTCAGATAACCATAAAACGCTGGCCGGGATAATTGTGGTGATTGGAAAATTAAGTTATACACAATTCACTTTGACGCAAACTTGTGACACTTCAAACTTTAGGAATAAATTGTAGAAAAGTATAAGAATTATCATTTTGTTATCATTAATGATTACACAAATATCAGATTTGATCAACAAATCAGTTACCCTCAACAACGGTAAAAGATCACAGAATATCTTCATTTGTTAAAGATGAAGTTGAGTTCTGGTCATGCGATTGCATTGTGAAAGAAACGGTGTGGAATCGACCAGAAAAGGTTGATCATCTAGCATATAGGAATTCGTGTGTATTGCAAGGTTCTGGAATCATCAAAAGGATAAGAAATTTGGCCAAATCTTGGTAAAGTTACAAACACTGTACACAGAAAAATGTATATGGGACTACACGAACAGGTGGCGTAAAAATCCTACCCTGGATTTCTACGATGTTACATGCCATATTTATAATATAAAGGCATTTGAAGAGCCATGCTTTTCAGGGAGTATGTCTTATCTGATGTTCTTCCACACTTAAATAATAATAATGATAACACTCACAAATTATTGTTCACCTCTTCCCAGAACTCAACCTTCTCTTTAAGTGCGATTTGAATTCGATGTATGTTTTTGATTGATTACCTTTTTGGTTATTGTTTTCTGTCAACTCACAATTGTTTTATTAAATTTGTAAGAATGTAAATGTTTACAATTATTTGTGTTCATAAACATGTAACATGTAAATATTACGAATTTCCTTTGTTAAATGGACGATAAATAGGAACCATATGTCAAATGACGAGTTTTAATTCGATAGAACATAAACGAAATTGAATGTATTCATGCCCAGTCTTATTACGGCCCTAAATATGGCCTAGGTTTCCCATTTCTACATATATCGTTTAGAACCACAAATGATAACGAAAATAGGTGTTAATATGTTAATAGGTTGAGTCTCGAGACAGTCTCGAATCTAGAATTTCACATCAAACATATTTACTCGTCATCACAATTTACTTACTTGTTTTCTAATTGTATTACTATTAATTCAAATTGGGCTATCTATGTGTGTCAAAGTTGGGTTTCTCTTTGACTTACTCACTCTCTGCATTCTGGCTCAATTCATCTTCAAGTAAACAACAAACATTATTTCCAGGTTTAGTTTCACAACTACTATGCCATTTTGAACAAACCCAATTGTTATCCTTTATAACGTTTATGCAAACGGAAAGTCATTTTGGATTAAATATCTCACTTAATTCAAGAAGTCGTCTTTTACGTTCAGATACATTTTCGTTAAATCCACAAGGTTTGACGTCTTAAATGCCTCTTTTAATTTCGGGCGCTGATGCTCTTCGTCTGTTCTGTTCCTCCATTTTGTAAGGAGCGTTTTGATGCCTGTGTACCCCTTCTTACTCAAAACAGAGCTGGCGTTATCCAATACAAGATTCCCGAAATCCTTGTTACTGAAGCCAAGAGCGTTCGCCAGTTTAAAAAGCTGGTATTTCGTTATCTCGTGACCTGATATGGCATCTATCATCTGGTCAGTTACTGGTTTGGGAATTCTGAAGTAAAGTGAAAAGAAGGGAGGGGGGGGGGGTTTAAATCATTGTGGTATATGTTATCAATTTCACGCAAAGAAGAGGGCCAGTAATTTTTTTTTTTTTTTTTGCGTTTTGTATTAATCTTTATGTATTGATTGATAAATTTGTATATATTTATTCAATCTTTCACGTATTCATGTATTTTTGTCATTTATTCATATAATATTTTCTTAATGTATTAAGAGTGTATTAATTAAGTCTTTATTCATTTACACATTTACTTATTCGAATATTTATTTCGTGTATAGTTTTTAATTCATTCATTTATTTATGAATTTAGCCGTCCCTATATTCGATTAAATAACGTTTATGACCTCAATAAATCGGAGGAGTACCTTATCACTGGTTCCGGTTCTGGGGCTGTTTTAGGAAGAGAAAATTGTAACATATATGTGTAAATACAAAATACATATCTGTTAATGTTCACTTATTGTTATCAAATGAAGTTTAACAAGACGATACATTATTGCAAATGCATACATGCTTGGTGTTATATATTAAGCAAATATTAATCGACTACGAGGGTAATGGTACAATCAATTATCACCGAGATTACCGAGGCGATGATAGTTTTTTATCCATTGCCCGAGTCAAGGAGGTTAATATTTGTTTTGTATCCCACATCGGCAATATGGTCTAGTTAAAGTGAATTTTACATAATTAAAAGAACTGAATCTGCAGACAGTTTAGCTTCAGCTAGATTTCAGCTAAAGTTTACAAAGCACAACATGCATACATGTAATAAAGTCGATTCGCGCTCATTTGACATTGACATTGACATTTCGCGTAACCTACTTTGCTATGCTTATTCAATGGGCAAGTGGGGGCAGCAGCAAAACATTACTGTACAAAAGTCAATATCGTAAGGAGATATCTTATCTTATCTATCATTGATCATGTGACCTCGTTTAGACCAATCAAATTGCAAGATTCTTAGTATGCGGGATATAAAGGTATATTATATATATATATATATATATCATGTATATATGAATGTCGTGGTAAAATTATACACTTTGGAATACTTTGAAAATAAATACAACAGTTCAAATTATTTCCCATGTGGTGATGAAATGATGAAGCTTTATTGGCTCAAGAAGTCATTTACTTATCTTCACCTTTGTATATATATATATATATATATATACCTTAAGGTGTCATTAGACGGACATATGTAGTGAGAAAATGATTCACTAAAGTGACTCGACATTGCCTCAGATTCTGAAACTAATTCCTAGATTTAGCTCATGCTGTAATCATAATTATAAATCTTTAGGTCAGAGAGGAATCCCATCACTTTTACAAACCGATCGCCTGATTCATTTTTCGTTTTCCTAACGGTTTTTAATACACTTCAATTAAATGGGAGAAATGGGTATGGAAAAACCGGTCACTCATTTTTTTAAAAACCTGTTTGAGCACATTATAATCGATTTGAAGCGCAATTTTGTTGTATGGCTTCAATAGTACACCATTTCGCAGACACTGACAACACGTTGGGCCATGCATTCCATATTTTACATTGTCAAATGATGGCTTTAAGTAAACATGATCATTAGAAGGACACTTGTCGTGTCCTGTTAACGACGGAACAATAAAAGTACTGTCATCTACGTACGTTTGCAGGCAGAGACAACTTAAAGGCGTCCCAAGAAACAAAAGGGTAAATCATTCAATTCAATTTTATTTCACATCTCTTTAAAAACACATCAAAAGATAAACAGTCATTAGTCATTGGTTTTTAAATTAGTTATATTGTTTTTATGTAGGGTTAGGGTTAGGATCAGAGTTCGGGTTAGGGTTATATACCAGTTTTTATCATGTCCAGTCAATGTACAATTTAGGGTTATATAGAAATATAATGTTTATACAACATGAAGGGTTATATTTTTTTTCTTCTGGATATATACTTGAATGTGTCGTGTATGTTTATGTGAATAGAGCTCCACGCCAACCTTTCGAATGAGCGTCTAGGGTTTTAAAAGTCTGTATGCATGAGGTATTTTATAGATATGGAATTTTTGAGGTCCGGTGAGTTCTGGACACCCAAGTATCCTTAACGCTTGTAACTGCCGAGCCCTGATACTTTATGGGAGTTTGAACGATAAGGTGCCCTATGGATATCGTCCCTTGTTTCAAAATTGTTCGTCACTCCATGGCCGAGAACCAACCATCATCACTACCCCCTTCCCCTCTGCCGAGAGAACACCTACATAACCCGGCCTGTTTAGGGTTAAACGATAAAGTTGAATTCTGGTCATGCGATTGCATTGTGGAAGAAACAGTGTGGAGTCCATCAACAAAGGTTGATAGCATATAAGCATTGGTGTGTACTGCTAGCTTCTGGAATCATCAAAATTATAAGATTGTTATGATGTTACATGCCATATTTAGAATATAAAGGCATTTGAAGAGCCATGCTTTTCAGGGAACATTTTAATCTGATGTTCTTCCACACTTGAATAATAACAATGATAACGTTCACAAATTATTTTCACCTCTTCCCAAAACTCAACTTTCTCTTTAACATGGTCTAAATTTAGAATAAGGCAGATTCACAATTAAACAGCGCCATCCCGAGGTGGGATAATTTTCAGCTCGTGGGTCGACGTTTTTCAACTATAATGCAGCGCAGCATAACGCTAGCCCCTAATAAAATGACCAAATGGTTCCAAAATGTGAACATTCTTCATTATGAGATTGATTGTTCTAATATCAGCGCTTAATTGTTTATATCGTATTTGGATGTCAAACCTTAACCAATAATTGATTCTGAATAAAAATGGAGCCTGATCTGAGACAAAAATCAATACAAATTATTATTTCTGGCCAAAACGTGACGAAAACTATCTTTTTCGTTGACATCTTTATCTATCAGCAGGGCAAATTTGGTAATAGAATGCTCCTTTGCTGATAATAACGAATGTAAAAATTACCCCTGTCTAAAAGTGACCCAAATGAAGCCACAGCTAATAGGTGTCAACTTGTTCCTATGATGAATTACGTGGAATCGAATAAAGACTGACGTCGCTTTATGGCGCTGTGGATTGTGAATCCACCGTATTGAACAAGCAGTGGAACACGACTGGAATGAACGGGGCACTGGAAGAACTGAAATGGAAACTACAAGGCTACTGATTAGAAGAGGTTGCATTATTGTCGGTTACCCCCTTTCTTTTTCCTTCTCGCTTGTAAGTTTTATTAGCACTGGATGATGGGTGGGGGGGGGGGGTTATAACTTAAACGTGTCTGATGTTAACTCGACCTTGTGGATTTGTATCAATAAACTTGAATTTGAATTTGAATTTGAATTATAACTTAAACAGTTTCTTTTACCTGCCAAGGTTTGCCTAATGTCAATCTCTGAACTGCATCCTTCTTGGATCACACGTAGTTTGATGGTTAATTCATTCGATTCTTCGCGATTGTAATCCAGCTTAAAATCAACACACTCATAAGGAACATTATCCAAAGTCTGAGGTTCAAGCTCCTATGAATATGAAAAGATTAAAATAAAGTTTACATTAATATTGATTACAATAATAATAATAACTATAATAATAATATTAATAATGATATTAATATGAATAATAATAATAATAAAGATAATAATAAAAAATAATTAAAAAAAATTATAACAATAATAAAAATCATAGTAATAATAATCATTATAGTAGAAACGGTAATAATATAGAAGGCTGGTCATAATTATGTATAAAAAGGTTGAACACTGATGATGTAAGACAGAAAAAAGAATTTACAGGATCGGAGAATTTGAAGTGGCTGAAAAGAGAAGTCTACAAAGGGAGATGGGAAAGATGTTACCTTATGCTTAAGACAAGATACTGAGAACAAACAACATGAAAGAGATTCCAAGAAACAGGGTGGCAGTTGGCACTGTGCCCCCCCCCCCAACAAACACACACTAATTACATTACCTACAATGTTCCCTTTTTACACAGGAAAATGCCCCTTTTACGTTGATAATTGCACCTTTTCCTCTTTATAAGTGCCCCTGTTATTTTGACACACGTGCCTCCTTGTGATTAGTGCCCTCAATTTGTTGTTAAAAAGCTCCTTCTCCTTTTTCATAAATGCTCTTCATCATCTCTGATTAAAGGCCATCTGACTAGGTACCCCCTTTCTGTCAATTCCTAAAATAAATGTCCCTTTTCCATTCAAATGAGTAACCTTTTTTCATCTCTGGTAATTGCGTTTTTGCAGGTACGAGAAATGAGCTTATTAAAAGTGTTGGATTGTCCTAAAATGCACCAATGTGCCTTGTGCAATGACTGTACCTACCGAAATAAGACGTCCATGCTTTCCTTTCAGAGAGAGCATCTCAAGGGTGACTTCCGCATCCTGGCCGATATTCCTCAAAATGAATGTTGTTTCATCCTTGACGCAAACGTTGTCCTTCTCCTCCCATTGTTCCCGAATGCGCTATGGAACGACAAAAAAAAAAGGGGGGGGGATATACATTCGTTAAAAGTTGTATGTCCCATTTGCAGGCCAAACAAATGAAAATATTAAATTCCAACGGTATTTGAAAGATAGTACTAACTTAGAACTTTCCTAAAACCGAAATGGCTTGAATATGGCTTTTGATGGGAAAATAACGACCATTAGTTGTCGAATCGACTTCAGTGGTTGCAATCACCTAACTAATACTATGATTTTTAGACCCTTTTACCAAATGGTCGTACGTCTTGTGCTGCATAAAGATTCAATTAGTTTAAATTTGGCCATTACAAGTAGTGTGTTATTGATGTAGACAAATGCTCATGTACCCGGGTTTCTTTCCATAATTTGAATATTAGGACACTGCTAACGTTTAAATTCCACAGATAAGACATACATGACATATTCTTAATTCCTGCAAAGTTCTACAGTATTTGATGTTGGCTGCAAAAGGGAAATGATATCTTTAATGTACAAATAATGCATTCGTTGATGATACGATATATCTGTTGTTAATGTGAGAGCTGTATGCATCTACCAATAGGTGTATACAAAGAGAACAGTTACATCCTTTACTAAACGAATGAACTAAATACTTAGATTCTTGTAATACTTGGTACACAAATAATTCATTTCAAGATTGTCTCGAATCATTATCGCTTTATATGCCAAACTAATGCATTAGTGCCATGTCTTTTCCGATTTGAAATTAAGTAATATATCGAAAAAAAGGAATAAAGAAAAATCACTGGCAGTAACCCTCGGAAACAAGACAGATTTTTAACATCTTTTCCCTACGTCGAATTTCCGGTTTTTGATCTAGCTTTGTTCGGATAATAGTTATAATTATAAAACCATTGTATTATTGCATTCTGATCGACTTGACTTGAGGAATGTGAGTTGGAGCCACGGTAAAGAGTTAAATATTATAGTTTCGAGACACATATTGGAAGTTTATAACGTGTACACGTGTTTATCTTTATTAACGGTACGTTGATGGATGATGTATGTGTGTCAGTATAGTGATTGCGAGATTTAGCACGGAATGGAGAGGAACGTTGAGGCTAGTTATTATGTTATTCTATAGTCGGTGTCACACAGAGGCCAACAATCCGGCTTTTAGTTATCCTCTTAATTGGCTGTCTGTCATCAATTATCCCTTAAAAAAACCTTCAAAAATCCCTTCAAAAATCCTCTAACGAAGCAAAATAATTTGCCCTTGAAAGGATTTTCAAGGGATTTTTCTGTCTGACACCAATGTTGAAATAATCCCCTTTAGGTCAGTGTAAGGTCAACGTTTGACTTGATGATAGGCTGGCATATGGTTTTTAACGCGCTATCATAACCTCCGCACAATTATATTAGAGCGCATTTAGAGACGCGCTAACTGCGCGTTACTTTTGATTGAACGTGTGATTTCACAATGCTTATCTACCTAAACGGCGCGTGCGCAATGGTCCATCAAAAATCCGGATTTTAGTTATCCGGATTATTCGTAGCTTGTCTATCACCAGTCTATCACCGACGTAAATGAAAGAACTAGATTTCTAAAATCTGTTTTTTTTTACAAGATGGGTAGGAATTTTTCTGTGTGACACTACCTTATATGTGTACTTATTTTATTCATTTGGACATTTGAATGAACAAGGTAAAATAAGCTTTCTACAGGTGCTTCCCTTTCCTGCTACTCATTCTCACAGTAGGCGGTGTCACACAAAAATCCCGACCCGTCCTGAATAAACCAGATTTTAGAAATATATTTTTTTTTCATTAACGTCGGTGACAGACTGGTGCCAGACAGGCTACGAATAAACCGGATAACTGAATTCCGGAGATTTGATGGGCCATTGCGCATGCGCCGTTTAGGTAGATAAGCATTGTGACATCACACGTTTAAATGCGCGCATTTAAACGTGTGATGTCAAAATGCTTATTTAAAGGGATTATTTCAACATTGCTGTCAGACAGAAAAATCCCTTCAAAAATCCTATCAAGGGAGAATTATCTTGCTTCGTTAGAGGATTTTTGAAGGGATTTTTGAAGGGGATTTTTAAGGGATAATTGATGACAGATGACAAATTAAGAGGATAACTAGAATCCGGATAACTAAAATCAAGATTTTTGGCCTCTGTGTGACACAGCCTATTTTGTTTAAATTAACTTAACATAATGCTCATGATTTGTATATTTTGAACTGTCTGTAATAAATCACATGTATACATTTCTTCGTTTTTTAATGAAAATAAAATATTTTGAATTCAATTGAAAATAATGTTGACTTAGGTTCGAGGCCATTCAACGTGATCATGATCGACAAAGGACCAGGTAAACGAAGCAGAATTGTATTTTCCTGCGGTACAACGTATAGCAGGAAAATGTTGTATATGCGGATCCGTTTAATGATTACGTAATGGGAGTGGTGAGACGCCACGATTCCGCGAAGCGGGATGGTTTGAATAACTTAGGCAGGTGTAAGTTATTGTTTTGAGAAGGAAAGGAATGTTCAGAAAGGCATAATAAGAGAGGGAAATGGGCGTGGTAGCCATTCTAGCTTTGTCAGACACTAGATACACGACACAAATTTCAAGTGGAAATTTTTAATACAGAACAATAGTTTGGTGTTTGTTTTTGTAGGAGGTTTAGAGATTCAAATAGATTATTTTTATTGGGACGATTTGCCATTAGGTTTTTCCAGAGCATTTGCCTTATTTAGTTTATCTCTGGTTTTTTCAACCTAGGGAATCGGTCCGGGCGTGGGGAAAAAAGGCAAAGCCCCATGCAGATTAGGGATCAAAATTAATATTTTATTCTATACAATGTCAGTATATATTGAGGTATGAACGTTGACGATTGAGATTAAAATTATGCAATGTTAACAATATTTACACTTGATATTTTCAAAATCAAGAATGAGTTTAAAAAATTGAAATTATTTTGATGTTCAAAATGATATAATAACAAAGATTGTTCATGATTGTTCAAAAAGATACAATTCGAATAAAAGCTGGCTTGGTCGGTCTGGCAGGCTTTTCCATAAAGATTGTTATTGATGTAATCTGTGAGTCATTAACTGAGTAATGAAGGATGAGAATATACTGGGAACAGAGCGCTATCACTCGTGGCTTATTTGATTTTATGTAATTGGACAGGATATCAGATAAAAGTAATGTTTAATGAGGTGTATTCTAGATCTACAGGTAACTAAAGTTAAACTAATTTAAAGTCACTTTGCACCCACAATCGCTGACAAATAACCTTTAGTTTAATAGGTTATGGTGCACACGGTATAAGCCCATAAATAGACTCATTTACACATCCCAAACATCTTCTTTTTTTTTTAGTCGTCCATTTTTAGACTACCATTATTACCCCCTTTATATCCCTTCACATACACAGATTTTTCTTACGAGTCCTTTCGGATCTCACAAATTCACGGATCCTTACGATTTGGCCACTTTTATGATCAATTTAAGAGTTGTTACGAGCTATTTAGGATCTATTACGGATTACTACGATGTATTTTATACGGCAAAATTCCACGATTTTTTAGGAGTTGTCACGGCTAAATACGAGCAACAAAAATGTTAATTACGACCTTTTTACGTGTTGTCACGAATAGTTACGAATTAGTTACGAGTTTTTTACAAGTCCTTACAATGTTAGCCAAAAATAACAACTGTAAAATGAAGTCTTCGAATTTGCAGCTTTTATACCTATCTAGAAATCGCAAACAATGTGTAAGAATGCGTAACGTATACGTATCTATTCGTAAAGTACTCACACCAAATCTCCGTCCAATGACGCCTTAAGAAGTGTGTATGTGTTACTATTATTAAAGCATCTATTTCAGAGTTTAAACAAAAATTCATTAACTGAGATTAACTCTGTATCAATACCTTGCCAATTTCACCAAATGGATGGTAAAAGTTCACATGTAGAATTGGTTTTCTGTTCTTCGGCATGACAAGTGGAAGAAAGGCTAGTAGCGCAACGCGTTTTCCCTCGCACATGTCTTCTTTCAGTGAGGCTGTATACAATCCTGGCCCGTCGATACAGAAACTCAGCGTATCTATTGTGATTTCACACTCGGGGGGTGCTAGTTGTCGACGAGACACTTTTCCTTCTCCTATACAAAATAAAAACACAATTTTCGTGCCAATTAATAATGATTTTTAACAATAATGTAAAGCCCATCCAAAGCGTTGGGAGCCCCAAATTCAACAAAATAAATAATCGCAAAATGTCACTTCGATTAATGATGTGAACGAGGATGTCATAAAACATACTCTTCTGCAAAGGTATACCCCTAAAAAGTATTTGAAGACGAATTAATGACGGGATATAAAATAAGGGTTTTCTATTGTACGCAGATAACCCAAATGTTGTATTCCATCCTTAATGTTCTTCTTAAAACACATTTATTTTGGAAAAAAATCTTTCCAGAGTGAGTTTTAAATGACATCCTCTTTTATATCATTATACAATTCACTTGAAAATTTCGACATCAAGATCACGTGTTCAACATTCGTAGAGTATGCGCCTGGCATGCAAAAACTGCGCGGGAAGTATGCGCAGCTAAATTGCAAATTTTGAGAAAAAAATTGTCGTTGACTAGTCGCGAACATGCGTGCCACTAGGCCGACGGACACACATCAGCACGCATCGGCGCGCATTGCCACAACTTGGTAGCACACAGGTTGCGCATAGATCAATTCAATTAAATTCTGTTTATTCATCCAAATTCAAAAGAATGCATGGACATTTATTTTGGTCACACATTGTGTAAACACGTAATATTAAGATGAGAAATAATATCGCTGTGTTTTATAATCATAGAAGAACCATCAAAATAAAAGATAGACAAGAACAATTTACGAACATGACTCTTGCATAAATAAGCGCGATTGGTCGATAACAGGGACTTTTATATTTACACAACGACAACGTGGATTGCTACGATCAACGTCTTTTTAATGCACTGACTTGAATGGACGTCACACGTATCAGTCCACGCAAATCTAAAAATACCTATTGATTTAGCTGACATGTACGGTTTGTTTTCGGTACAGGAATCACAATCGCCGATTTCCTTTTCGAGTCTTTTCTTTACGAGTCCTTACGAATCGCCAACTCGTAGTCAATCGCAAGCATCCTTAAATAACTCGCTGGTATCCGTAAATAGCTCGTCACAATTCGCAACAACTCGCAAACACTCGTAAGGATCCGTGAAAGGAGAGGCAAATTTTTTGACATGTCAACAATCTTCTTTAATAGCAGGGTCCCACTTAGCCGAGCTGGCGCGATCTTATGGCAAGCCGTTTTTATAATTAATTGATATCAATAAATCAATTCTTGATATCAAGAAATAATTTTATGTTGTAAAGCAATGGTAATTCTTGATATCAAGAATTCGATTTCGTGATATCAGGAATTCGATTTCGTGATATCAGGAATTCGATTTCGTGATATCATGAAATATGTTTTAATGACAAAACTGCTTGCCATAGGATCGCGCCAGCTCGCCACAACTCGAGGCTCCAACTCGGCTAAGTGGGAGCCCTGCTTACGATTGTCCACGGATTTATTTTCCCGTAAATAACTCGTAAATAGCTCGTAACAATCCGTAAGTATCGTAAACAGCTCGCATCAACACGTAACCATTCGTAAACCCCTCGCAAGGATCCGTAAAAGACTCATAAACATTTTTAAAAACTATTTTTTACGGTTAGTTTACGATTTGTTTACGGATTGTTTACGGATCATGACGAGTCCTTACGTGTTGTTTACGATTTAGTTCGGGGTCGTAATACGATGGCGTTACGGATTGTTACGAGCTATTACAAGCACTTTATGTGTAGTAACGAGTGTTTTACGAATAGATACGTTTACTTTACGTATTCTTACGTACCGGTTACGCATTCTCACGTATTGTTTACGATTTGGGGAAAAGTTTAAAAGCTGCAAAATCCTAAGAACTCGTAAATACTCGTAACTATCTCGTAACTATTCGTAATAACACGTAAACAGTATTCCCGTAAGTTGCTCGTAATTATCCGTGTCAACTCTTAAGCAGGGCTCCCACTTTGCCGAGTTGTATTAGGGAGTTATGGCGAGTTGTGGTGAGTTGCCTCAAAGAGGCACTCGCAGTAACTCGCTAACAATTCGGTATGGATTAGCGTAACTCTTTACAACATTCCAAGACTCTCCTTGAAGTCGCGAGCAGGTCAAAAATGTTGAACATGTTCAAATAATGTCCCCGATTCGTTGTAATTCGAGGTAAACTCGCCTACACTCGTAATATTCTTGCATTACTCGTAACAAGTTCGCGCTGCACTCTTCATAACTCGTAGCAATTAGCAATTAGCCACCTTATGAAGAGTGCAGTGCGAGTATATTACGAGTAATGCGAGTATATTACGAGTGTAAGCGAGTTCACCTCGAGTAACAAATTCACCTCGAGTAACAAATTCACCTCGAGCTACAACAAATCAGCGAAAATTTTGAACATGTTCACAATTTTCGCTGTTTCGTTGTAGCTCGAGGTGAACTTGCTTAATACTCATAATATACTCGTAGCAACTCGCCACCTTATGAAGAGTGCAGTGCGAGCTTTTTACAAGTAATGCGTGTATATTACGAGGGTAGGCGAGTTCACCTCGAATTACAACGAATCGGGGAATTTTTGTGAACATGTTCAACATTTTGAAATGCCGAATTGTTAGCGAGTTATTGCCAGTGCCTCTTTGTGGCAACTCACCACAACTTGCCATTACTCGCTAATACAACTCAGCTAAGTGGGAGCCCTGCTTTAACAACTCGTGGAACTTTGCAGTAAATACATCGTAATAATCCGTAATAAACCGTATATAGCTTGTAATAACTCGTAACAACTCCTAAATCGGTCGTAAAAGTGGCCAAATCGTAAGGATCCGTGAAAGATCCGTGAATTTGCGCGATCCGTAAGAACTCGTAAGAAAAATCTGTGTATATAATTATTAACATAATTACATAATTATTAACAATGCCGGCTGCCCCTTCTAGGTCGTCGGCGTTCAAAATAAGTGTATCCCAATCAGTTAACTCGAAGCAGGTTTGTAAGGTTTTAATGGATCTTTCATTCCATACTTTGACTTTCTTTATAGTTACTTTTACGACTTAAGTCTAGTTCTATATTTCGACATGAGATGACCAGTAGGATGAGCTGATTTTAACAAGGGACACTGAACGAGGGATTTATTTAAATCTTTAACCGAGCAGTAGCAGCGATCAAGCACCCAATCACCACGGATCGGGGCCTGCGCACATTGATCATAGTTGGGCAGCACGTCCTCTAGAGGGCAGTGGTTGGAATCCACGATTATTATTTTTGGGGGAGCCGGATGACGTTTCCATGGCGTGCATTACGTTACCGTAACTTCTTGTGCAGCTGCGGCGGTGTTTCCATCCGGTGGAATGTAAACAATAAATACGTCTAGCGAATGAATTCTCTTTGAAGATAGAACGGCCTAATGGGGCTTTCACCTATACACTCCGGGGCCCGTACGGCGAGTTAAAACAGACATTTTGGAAATTTTGCTGCCGTAAAATTCCCACGGGCGCTGGGACAGTTTGTTAAGCCTAATGCGATGGTCACATCCCGCCGTACTTGCAAGTGCGTGCTGTCTACGTGCAAAAACGTGGGCAAAATTTGGGTATCCGTACGTGATGAGTACCGCCTCCGTATGGATTTGGGAGCACGCAGACACACCGTAGCACTTTTAGTGCATGAGGAACTTTCGCTGCGTTCGGGCTGCGTTCGGGCTACCGATTCACCCCAGTACGTGTGACGCGCGTTGCCGGTACTCCCTCCCTGCCTTTGCCACTCCCTCCCTACGTTTTCAGAAAAACGTGGCGACCGTGGCCTCCCCAAAAACCGTACGGACTAAAAAAACGCACGGTGGGATGTGACCAACGCTTTAAGCAGGGCTCCCACTTCTCCTCGATGTCGCGAGCAGTTCCAAAATTTTGAACATGTTCAAACAAATTCCCCGATTCGCTGTAATTCGAGGTGAACGCGCCTACACTCGTAATATACACGTATTACTTGTAACAAGCTCGCGTTGCACTCTTCATAAGGTGGCGAGTTGCTACGAGTATATTACGAGTGTTAAGCAAGTTCACCTCGAGCTACAACGAATCAGCTTCCCTGATTCGTTGTTACTCGAGATGAACTCGCTTAAACTCGTAATATACTCGCATTACTCGTAACAAGCTCGCGCTGCACTCTTCATGAGGTGGGTAGTTGCTACGAGTTACAGCGCGAGTTCACCTCGAATTACAACGAATCGGGGAATTTTGTTGAACATGTTCAAAATGTTGGAACTGCTCGCGACTTCTAGGAGCGTCTTAGAATGTTGTAAAGAGTAACGTTAAGCCATACCGAATTGTTTGCGAGTTATTGCGAGTGCCTCTTTAAAGCAACTCACCACAACTCGCCACAACTCGCTAATACAACTCAGCTAAGTGGGAGCCCTGCTTTATGGGCGTCATGGTGCTCAGTTGGCTGCTCCCAATTCTCCCTGCGTTTTCATCTGACCGTTAGGCCGTAGAAAGCCCGTAACTTACGGCTTCAGTCCGGGCTCCGGACGGTGCCCGCACGGGCCAACTCACGACTTTGTTGGGCAAATTCTCATGACAAGTCTTTCCGTTGCCTTGCGGTGCTCAAGGGAGCCGTACGTGTACCCAACGACTCCCTCACGGCCCCTCAATAGGCCCGATGATATGCACAGCACCGGGCGTCTGCCGTCCGGGGGCCTTTTGAAATGAATATTACACTTGCGGGCCCCTCACGGCGGCATCTCAAAATGTACAACGCAGCTTTAAATACAGCAGGTGCTTTTGTCAGAGGACACATAGTTCAGTGCACCGCACGGCCACCACCCGCGCGCCTTGAGGACCCCGACCGGGCACCTGAATTGTATTTCCTATTGAACGAACATTGCTCAAAGTGATGGTGATAGTTTGTAACTTGATCACCCCTTTCAAAGAGAGCTCAACTCGTCTTCATACCATTCTTAGTGCGTTCGAACGCGCTCCTAGACTGTGTGCAATACCGACCTAGCACGACGGTTAAGCCCCCATCGCACCAAACAAGTTCTATCTACATTCTCGAAAATGCGGCCCAAAATGGCTCAAATTGTGTGCGAACGGAGTTGAACGTAAACGCAACTGTTTACGATTTGATTAAGGACTTCATGGACGGGCTCGGACTGGACTAATGTCTTTCATACGATCCTAGATCGTTCATTAACAGTCCAAAATAAGTCCAATTTTGTCTATACCCCGTCCACAGTCCGTTCATATGAAGTTCAGATCGGGTAAAATTGACCTTTCCAAGCAATCCAAACCTTCTTACTACACTGTTGGTCATAATGGTGGAATATTTATTTTTACCCCAGTTTAGGGAAGGATTTTAAAAAAATATTTATTTCTAATAGATCAAGATAATGGCATACATTCTCAGATTCTATTGAATATTAATTTGCGAGTGTTTGTTTTGCGTGACTGCTTAATCATATGTGTGCTACTATGCTAATCAGCTAGGGAACCTACGTCCTTAAATCATAATTAACAGTAATGAGGATTAATGCCTCACAAAATGGCACTAATATAGCTGATCGACACGATTTTTATCCTGGGGCCTCACAGTAACGAGGCCATTGCTTAGCCCCTGAATTATGACTGTACGCAGTGTTTGCTAGGGTACGCGGCCCCTTCCACAAATCCCCCATAACGAAAAAAATGCAATAAATTGTCAAAAATTCATTGCATTTTCCCCCGGCCCCCAACAGGAAAAATTCCTCTGTGTGGCCATGCCTTGAACCATAATGCATGGCCCTACAGAGGAAATTTTCCTGTTGGGGGCCGGGGAAAATGCAATGAATTTTTGACAATTTATTGCATTTTTTTCGTTTTGGGGGATTTGTGGAAGGGGCCGCGTACCCTAGCAAACACTGCGTACATTCATGATTCAGGGGCTAAGCAATGGCCTCGTTACTGTGAGGCCCCAGGATAAAAATCGTGTCGATCAGCTATATATTAGTGCCCTTTTGTGAGGCATTAATCCTCATTACTGTCAATTATGACTTAAGGACGTAGGTCCCTTAGCTGATTGGCATAGTAGCACACATATGATTAAGCAGTCACGCAAAACAAAGACTAGCAAATTAATATTCAATAGAATCTGAGAATGTATGCCATTATCTTGATCTATTAGAAATAAATAATTTTTTTAAATCCTTCCCTAAACTGGGGTAAAAATAAATATTCCACCATTATGACCAACAGTGTAGTTCGCAACTGGCTTATATCCCAACCACCCAGTTCAGAGACAGTTCAACTTGTCCTCATCTTGTTCTTAGTGCGTTCGGACTCGCTCCTATCGGGCGTGTGCAATCCCGTGCTGGTTCGAGGGCTATACCAACCCAGCGTGTTCTTGTTTATTGATGCTCGACCACATTACGTTGTAACACGTTCCTAGTAGGATCGATGTACAACAATTCCATTTGTAGTACGTCTATCTCGATTTAAGTATGTTGCCACTTCGTCTTATTGCAGGACGGAAATATTTTTGAACAGGCTTAGAGTTCAAGAGCAGGGTGGGTTGGAGGGTGGATTGGAGATTCCCGGAGATTCCCGTCCAACCCAGTCCGAGCAAAATGAAATGTAGCGCTACACGACGTTTTGCACGGCAACCGACTAAATAGTTGTTTATACGTTCACTCCGTTTAACAACATTTTCCAGAACGTAATGGGCAGGCACGTAGCCACCGGGGGGGGGGGGGGGGGGGGGGGGTGGGAGGGTTGCACGTGCTCCCCCCCCCCAAAAAAAATAAAAAAATCCAAGATCGGTTGAACTATTTTAGACCCCTCCCCAGGACGTCGATCAATTACATGTATGTGTCCCCCCCCCCTAAAAAAAAAAATATATATATATATATATATATATATAAATTATATCAAACTCTGGATACGGCCCTGTTGATGGGGGCTTCAATTGAATGTTTTGATCTGCAAAGGTTAAAGTGTTGAACGGGAATGAAGAATGGCGAGAACTCGCTGGGTTTTTATAGCTCCCGAGCTCCCGAGTCGCGCTGTAGGAGCGCGTTCGAACGCACTAAGAACAAGATGATGACGAGGTGAACTGTCTCTGAACGGGGTGGTAGGGTTGAAAACTTGTTAGAACAAGTACCGACTAGTTACACTGGGTTTGGACGTAATGGGAACGAGGTAGAACTGGTTAATAATGGTATTAAACTGACTACGGACTGGCTTGGACAGCCTCGAAATGGCAAATTTATCCGATCTGAATTTGATGTTAGCTGTCTGTGAACGAGGTACAGACAAGATGGACGTATTGAGGACTGTTTATGAACGAACGTAGTAAGAACTAGCTTGGTGTGATGGGGGGTTTATAATGACCCAGCGCGATTTTTTGGGACGATTCCAGAGCAAGGTGAGAACTAGTTTGGCGTGATGGGGCTTATACTGCTGTTAATTTATGCTCAAAACGGCACGTTGTAACACGTTCCTAATATGATCGAAGCTCGGCAATTCCGCTCCACCTAGTTTAAAGTACGTTGGCAGTCCGTGTAATTGCAGGTCGGAGAAGTTTTCAACAGGCAGAACGTCCTAGAGGACACACCCGTACTTGCCAGTCCGAGCCCGTCCATGACGTTCCTAAACAGATCGTAAACAGTTGTTACTATGTTCAACTCCGTTCGCACACAGTTTGAGACCGTTTGGCAGCATTTTCTAGAACGTAGTGAGAACTAGTCCGGTGTGATTGGGGCTTTACCACGAATACTTCCCGCTATGTCATATGCGCAAACTATGAGCGAACCTTACGCGTTGAACGACCATGACGGGAATTTAAGACCAAATAAGCAAATGCAATGTTTTTCATGACACACATTCATGACACCGCGAGTTTAGAAATTAATTTCTAAAGAGCCCGGTGCTCAGTCATCCGTGCCAGAAATATTATATTTTTTATACGCACTTTATATTTCTCTCGATGAGGAAGTTCCACCCTTATATTAGGTGGTTTTGTTACAAACATAAACGTTTCATTATTATTATCAGTATTATGGTTACAGCAGACAAAGTCCATTGGAAGAGCATACTGGCCCGAATTCTCAAAGGAGCTTTAAATGTTACCCGTGATTTAAATCTATATTTACATATCCAAATGTTCTAAAATTAGCGCAAAATAAGCGCGACACAGTCAGAGGTCCAATGTTAGACGCGGGTACGCAAGGTACGCTTATTTTGCGCTAATTTTTAAACCATGGTTTATAAAATGAGGATTTAAACCATGGTTTAAGTTAAACCTCCTTTGTGAATTCGGGTCAAAGGTGTTTCATCATAATGTACGTCTGAAATAAACTGCCTTTAACAATGATTATTGTAAAGGGGTGTAAACAAAATGAAAATTCGCACCTTCAGAATCTATGTCAAGTTTTGTGTAAACGAACATTTTTACATTTCGTTTGAGTGCGGCCGGTGAAAGTTCCGCACAATGACTGATTATAAGCTTTACTGGCCTTCCATCGAAGTTTCCATTAACTTTGACAGTTGGGCAGACCGCCACTTCATCTTCTTCGGACGATCCTTTCATCAGACCGGCATTGCTTGAGATGTCGACTAATAAACAAAGAAAAACAAAGACATTTAATACTGCATACATTGCTCTTTGCTATGAAGGTCAAACATAACGGAGTGTACTACGTAACAACACAACGTAAAACATGCTTTGTATTTTAATTGGACCCCTGTGCTGATTATAGGGTGTTCCGCCCGTATGTGGAAGTAAATAAAATACAAATAAACATAATATATGCAATTCACACTGTGACTATTAAAATACATTTATTCGTAAAAGGTGAATAACATAAATTTGATAGCATTACGAAAATGATGAATTAATGCAAAGTCATTGTAAATATGTCATTATGTCGATAGCTAGTTTTTAAAGCCTATATAGAGTGTTGGGAGTTTAAACAAATTGATGGCAAATGTCACTTATATTGTATCACAATGTGATAGAGGCCGTTATTCAGAGGGATCCGGTAACTTAGTCTCAGATTTTCATTCTCAGATTCATGCTGCAATGATAATTATAAACCTTTGGGTCAGTCAGGAACCCCATGACTTTTACAAGCCGATCGCCTGTCGGATTATAAAGATATTAATAATTGGAAACCGAAACCAAATCTTGCGTTTTCCTAACGGTTTTCCTAACACTACAGTCTATTGGGGAAAACGGGTATGGTAAAACCTGTCACTCAAAGATTTTAACTTTTTTGAAGCACTTCTTGATCATGTTGAAGCGCAATTTAATTTGAGGGCTTCAACATTACACCATTTCACACACACACTGATACAACGTAGGGCCTTGAGTCTCAGATTTAACATTGTTAAACGATGCCTACACATTTCTGCAAGGATTCTCAAAACAAATGTGTTTGAAGTCGAATATTGATAAAAGAATACACAACTTAGGTTTTCTGCATACAACAGAATAACAAAGGTCAGTTCTCCATTAAACAAACACAAAATCTTACTCTCAAATTCCATGTCATCTGATGTGGCGGCCATGGAAACTTCGATAGAAATTCCAAAACCTCTCTGTTCGTAAATCCCATAGATGTTTCCATCTTTTCCAATGGTCTGAAACGCCGTGGGCTCCTTGAAATCGTCATATGTGCCTGATAAAAGCGGGGTAAGCATGATAATTAATGATAACAATACACAATAACTTAATTTACATTTATACTGCATTACTGTATAATAGAATTACTACCACAAGAGCTATTTTTTGTAAAAGACTGTTTGCCTTTATTTAGATTTTTATAAACACAATGATAAAGAGGAACATAATTTTTCTTACAGTATAAGCAAAAAACATTGTCTCATACATTATAAACACAAAATATTTCCCATAGGTATCAAAAGTAAGTATACACATTGTGATACACTTCTGGAATTTGGAGGGAATTTTTTTTTTCAATAGAGAAAAAGAAAAAGTTGACGATGGTACTTTATATTAATATTTGCGGATACAACATTATAAACAGGAAAAATTGCTTTACAGTACAAACATATAAATTAAGCAATCTGAATAAAGATTGTTTTATATAAATGATAAGTATCAGATGAAGGTACTTGTTCATAACCTACAATAAACCAATTTGTTATATTTACATAGAATGACATGGTGCATTTGTTTGAACTCCTAGATTGTATTATATGAGGGTCTTGTATCAGTGGATGTCTGTTAGTAAGCTGTTGTTGTTGACGAGCAAACAACGATAATAGATAAGTGTCAGGATCAATAGCAGAGTAAGCAGAAATACAGAAAAATATTAATATATTTATATACAGTTTGTCCAAGAAAAAATGAAACCGAGAATTTCAGATGTTTTATCATAACTTAATTACAATTATAATGAATAAATGACGCACATTTGTGAAGCTTAGATCCTCTTCCTTCACCTAACACAATTGATGTGATGCATATCTCACGCATAAGTGATTACAACGAATTTGAAGAGATGAAACCAAAAAGTCATTTGGCGGACGGAATCTGAATTTCAAAGAGAAAATCTAATTTCTAGATATTTTATTGTCTGCCCTTTCATATGACACCTCAATCACGACAAATGAACATGAAATAACAAAGTTCTCTTTGTTTAAAGTGTTGCTTGCATTTCCATAATTTTATTAAACGAATTTGTTTTCACTGGCTTTCTGCCGTAGCAACAAACATAGTTGACCAAAGACTTAACTCCTTTTCGTAGACGATCAGCCATGCATCAAGTCTCTCGTCTTCTTTGTGCATGGCTGATTGTCAACGAAACTTAGTATATATACACATTTACCTATGGTGTAACATTTTCCCTTTTTGTATAATGGATTAGCAATTAGTTCTGTATTATTGCTTTTTCATATTCAATTTTTGTTTAGTTCTCTAAAGCCTTATATATGTATTTGTTAGTTGGAAACTTTCCATTTGTAAGATTACTGTAAATCATATATATTTGACCAAAATCAATATTGCCCATGTATCCATTTACCACACATGGATGCAGAGTGGCAAATGTTGATTAACTCTTATCATGTCACAGGGCTAATCTCCATTGTGCCAAGCCCCAAATCCCCCGTGCCAGGTTGTTTTGGAGATAATCTGATTTACGCGATGGTTCTATGAATAGCGAGTGCAGAATACACAGCACAGTCCAAGAGCATGAACAATAACTGCTTAATTACGAATGCTGCAATGCACGCACATATCACTCAAGCGATGGTTCTCTCGCATGTACAAAGCACTATAACGATAGCGTGCATGCAGCCATATGACAAGCTATGAGTTAAGGGTTGTTTTACAATTAGGGTTCACACTTTGTCTCACTTGGGGTGAAAAAAAAAGTTCCTTTGATTCTTCTGATTTTATGTGTGTGTATTGTATTCAAGTTACTTGTAAATTCTGTATCATTCCAGGGCTACAAATGTCAATTTGTTTTTCAAGCATGAAACATGTCCGTAATGAAATAGAGTCAAGTGTCACCTGACGACATTATGCAGAAAGAAACTATTTTTTGTTTCTTTGTGTGAATGTAAATGACATAGTTTGATAACTTGATGATATGGAATCAGAATACAACTCAATTTTTCAAGTGCAAAATGGTTTTATTTACGTAAAATTGAAGTTTGCACCTGTTCATACCGCAAAATGATGGACTGACAGCATGATGTTACTGATTAAAAACACAGAGCAGGTCGACCCTACATTCTGTACTGCACAGCTACAAACGGTAAGGGTGCTTTTGCATACCAACTTCAAGAATAAAAAGATACATGGTTCTTGAGATATGTGGCGTCAAAAATGTTTGGAGAGGATAATTTTTATTTCGGAGAGGACATTATTTTGGACATGCAGTTGTAACAGTACAACGCACTTTCACTGAAGATAGCAGTCCTATCTACACAGTGCAACGCATTTTAATTGTATACGCTGCGTATTGCTCTCCACGTGCATGTACATACGTGTTCTGGCTCTTACATGTCTGTGCGCACCACGAACATGTACGTGCTTAGTGCATTGCACTTTCAAGACCGTAGCACTGCATAAGGCCTAGCCCTACTAGTCCAGGCATTTCGTGAAAAAAAAGGGGTCAACCTCCCACTAATTGCAACAGAAAGTCTGTCAACTGTTTTATACCCAGAAATATGTCCTCTATAACATATCAAAAGTCTTAAGGAATCCTAGCGGGGGAAAGTTCCGTGGCGGCCATTTTTTAAAATGGCCGCCATTTATAACTACTGTTGTACAATTTTGGGGATTTCTTTTTAACAGCACCTCATTTTACCATGCATAAGGTGTCATATGAAAGACAATTACATTTCCTACAAGATGATACCTCATTCAATAGGTTTCTGGATGATTTGCTTACCAATTTTGAGCCAAAAATGTGATTTTTTACCATTTTTTTCAAAAATATGAATTGCGCCAAAATACATATTTCTCCATATTTATTTGATTATTATGCTAATCCACTTGAAACTTTCTGAAAAACTGTTCAGCATCCTGGTTGATATCATATTCAAATTTCAAGTCTATTACTCTTCAAACTAAAAAGTTATAGCGCTCTAAAGTTGAAATTTTGTTATGAGCCAAAATGGCAAATTTGGTTGCTAAGGGCTATCTTCTCCTTAGCAACGGTAACATATTGGCATGAGAAATAGAATATATCATGAGAAATTGCTATCACCAAGCAGGTGACTACTTTTATAGGAAGTATGATGTCAAATGATGCATTTTCATCCAATTTTAATGATAAATATCGCTTAGTTCCCGTTGCTATGGTAATAATATGCCTAGCAACCGATATAAAACACATATTTTTGTTGTAAATCTAATATTTCCCATATCTCTGCTTCTAAATAACATAGAGAGTTTTGATTTTAAATGCTAAACATACATTTCCAGAGACAAGGAATCAAATTAATTAAATTTTAATGAGCTAAACCTAGCCAAAAAGCCGAAACGGCAGCCATTTTCCAAAATGGCCGCCATAAACCTGATATTTCGCAATATCTCCGCTTCTAAATGACTTAAGGCATTGATTTTCAGTGCTAAATATACATTTTCTGGGCCCAGGAATCCTTTGAAACACATTTCAATGAGCTAAACCTGACCAAAAAGCCGAAATGGCAGCCATTTTCCCAAATGGCTGCCATTAACCTGATAATTCCCAATATTTCTGCTTCTAAAGGCTTAGAATTTGAGTGCAAAACGTACATTTTCTGGGGCTAGGAATCCAATGACACACATTTCAATAAGCTAAACCTCACCAAAAAGCATTATTCTGAGGATGTGTCAACTATATACCATAGAAGGGAAGCTCCCTTGTCAAAGCCATGCACGCGGGAAGTAGTATCACATCCCAGGAGAGCGTGCATGAAAAAATGTGCTGTGATACATCAGGGCCTAACTGCTGTTTGACAGACTTCATGTTCCAGACACGCGGTTTCTTTACATTCTTCTTTGGCTCGGGTTGGAAGAACAGGTCACATGACTTGAGGTTGGTGTGGTAGATGAGCAAGATGAGTAGATTTGTGTCATCTCCGATCAGCATAGTATCAGTGGTGGTTGCAGACTCCACTGCTTTCTGCACTATGAGGAGACCAGCGTCACCTGCAGCATGATGTTTCTGGCAGTTCTTTGCCGGTAGTTTGGTGCTGAGCATGTTGATGAAGTGCTGCTTATTTGTCTTGTTTGCCAGGAATTGTTCCTTCTTCATTGTGGTCTGCATATCTTCATCAAACGTCACCGTTGCTCCAGCATTCCCTCTTGCACGTCTTTGGTGTGCTGTGCCCTTTGTTGATGTACCATCATATCCATCAAACACGGCTGTTGCCTGTCCATACTTCTTTGGGACATACTCTGTGTATTGCGTGCAGATACCTTTGCATGTTAAACCACTTGCCTATGGAATGCGCTGAACTAGTGTCCCAACATCCAACACGTAGTGGACTTGGCCTGTGATTCCTGGTGCATCCTTTGTCAGGAGTGTCCAGATAGCATCTGCTAGCACTGGCTTCTGTGGCTGTCGGAGCAGAAGTGAGGAATTAAACAGAGTTGGTGGGTAACTGCACAGCTCATATTTGAACACAGACTCTAGAGCCTCTGTAGCTTTCGCAGCAATTGTCAGTCACTGGAAAAGCAGCTGGGGATCCACTTGTACTGCCTCACCATCAATCTTTACTGCCGATTTCAAAGCCAAGGTGATGGCCTGATCCTTCCTCTTGAATGTGTAGTCAGCAGCAATTTGTCCATCCATGTTGGTCAGGATTGCTGTTCCAACAGTTTTTGCTGAATCCATATTGACTTTTCTGGTTGCATGTACCCCTGTTGAAATGCTGCGCAAGCTCGGATCTGAGCTGAAGGGTTTTCTCTTTTTCAGACAGCTGATAACTGCATGTGTGTCTTTCATGTCACATGCTTGTCTAGCATTTGTCATGCCCTTGTTTTGTTCACCAGTGTTATAGTTCACACCTGTAAGCTGTTGAATAGCATTGTTGACATCAGCACAGGCAGGCATGGAGAGCAGCCATATGAGACGCTGTTGCTCTGTCATGCCTCGCCCTCTCGTCAGGCCACCGCTGGTCTTCATACACCTCATTAGGACCTGTTCGATGGTGAGATCTACAGACAGACCAGCCCATAGGCGATCACTTCTTCTGACAACATGGAACCCTTCTTTGAATCGTTGGTACACATCTGGATGTTCATCCTTGAGCTTGCTCATTTGATGCACATAGAGGCGGATTGATTTGGTGTAGAGGTTGTGCTCAGAGGCTGCCAGGTAGGGCAACATTTCTGACACAGTTTCAAGGTGCAACGCCCAGTTGCCAATGCGTTCTGCTCTAATAAACTTCCGTAGTATGTCAACCATCTCCATGTACTGCAGCCAAAGTGTGGCGGTCCTAGAGGACTTCAGGGATTCGGTTTTGGCCCAGAGGAGCTTCTTGATTCTGGTTAAAACATCAGCTTGGCAGAACTCCTCTGCAGACACAGAACCTTCCATCAGATTCTTGTAAAGGGGAACACGTTCATCAAGATCAGCGTTTCCAGTTCCGTTTGTCGTAGGCTCATCATCTGGTGGCACTGTTGCCTCATTGGTCTCCTCCACTTCATGTGGATCTGCAGATGGTTGAAGGAGTGGCATTCCAAGTGCGTCTGACAAAATCAAGGCGTAGATTGCTTCCCAAGAAACTCATTTATGTTTGAAAGCCTCCCAGGCGCAAAAGCATGTCATTCAAAACACTTCCTGTGGGCTCAGTCTCGATGATCATGTGGGCTAGCCACCATAGTGGTTGGCCAAAGGTGATGATGGGCGTAACACCATGGCGACAAGCATGCTCACACACAAAATTCAGTGTGGAATAGATGCAAGTGACATCGCTGGGATTCATGTCGATCATTGGGAGAAACATCACCGATGATTTCCCGGGGTGGTCACCATGATGCACTAGCTGCATCAGTCCAGACCATGCCGGTCTTGGTGAGGTGAACATAATGAATGTCTTCCACATGAGATCAAGGTCTACTGTTGGGTCCTTTGCCTTCATGTTGATCACCTTCTAGTATGCCAGTGTTGTCATACCGCGGCTCTCTTCTTTGTGGTAATGGATAGGAATTCGTCCCACCGTGGAGATATCGATGGAGGTGACCCGCGCCCTGAGGGTAGGTCTGCTGGTCTTGGTGGCTGGGGTTATGGCAGCAATCATCCCCATGCCATGGAATGTATTGTTACCATAAAGGGTACAGATGTTGTGGTCTACATTTTGTCTGCAGCATACTGGACAAACTCCGAACTGAAATCAGGTATGTCTGTCCCATGAGACATCACAACATTAGTTAACACTGCAGACCTGGTGGTACACTGCATCTGCAGCATGAAGGTCATGCACATGGAGGACGCGGGCTTTGACTGTTTCTGGCATCCTTCCTTTTGTCACAGGATTACAAGATAATGTCCTTGAATAATTATGACCTATACATGAACGTTGTCCATCAGGCATACGGCATGCCATGGTATATAGTTGACACATCCTCAGAATAATGCTTTTTGGTCAGGTTTAATTTATTGAAATGTGTGTCATTGGATTCCTAGCCCCAGAAAATGTACGTTTTGCACTCAAATTCTAAGCCTTTAGAAGCAGAAATATTGGGAATTATCAGGTTTATGGCAGCCATTTGGGAAAATGGCTGCCATTTCGGCTTTTTGGTCAGGTTTAGCTCATTGAAATGTGTTTCAAAGGATTCCTGGGCCCAGAAAATGTATATTTAGCACTGAAAATCAATGCCTTAAGTCATTTAGAAGCGGAGATATTACGAAATATCAGGTTTATGGCGGCCATTTTGGAAAATGGCTGCCGTTTCGGCTTTTTAGGCTAGGTTTAGCTCATTAAAATTTAATTAATTTGATTCCTTGTCTCTGAAAATGTATGTTTAGCACTTAAAATCAAAACTCTCTATGTTATTTAGAAGGAGATCTGGGAAATATTAGATTTACAACAAAAATATGCGTTTTATATCGGTTGCTAGGCATATTATTACCATAGCAACGGGAACTAAGGGATATTTATCATTAAAATTGGATGAAAATGCATAATTTGACATCATACTTCCTATAAAAGTAGTCATCTGCTTGGTGAGAGCAATTTCTCGTGATATATTCTATTTCTCACGCCAATATGTTACCGTTGCTAAGGAAAAGAGCCCTTAGCAACCAAATTTGCCATTTTGGCTCATAACAAAGTTTCAACTTTAGAGCGCTATAACTTTTTAGTTTGAAGAGTAATAGACTTGAAATTTGGATATGATATCAACCAGGATACTGGACAGTTTTTCATTTAGTTTCAAGTCGGTTAGCATAATAATCAAATAAATATGGGGAAATATGTATTTTGGCGCAATTCACATTTTTGAAAAAAATGGTAAAAAATCACACTTTTGGCTCAAAATTGTTCAGCAAATCATCCCGAAACCCAATGAATGAGGTATCATCTTGTAGGAAATGTAATTGTCTTTCATATGACACCTTATACATGGTAAAATGAGGTGCTGTTAAAAAGAAATCCCCAGAATTGTACAACATTAGTTATACATGGCGGCCATTTTGAAAAAATGGCCGCCATGGCACTTTCCCCAACCCGGATTCCTTAAGACTTTCGATATGTTATAATGGACACCTCCAAGAGCACAAAACAGTCGAGACATTTTCTGTTGCAATTAGTGGGAGGTCATATCAAATTATGCCTGGACTATACTGTATAATTAGCACTGCAATGATGTTATACAGGTCTCAAACAGTAGATGGCGCTGTTCCACAAAATTAACGTAATTAATTAATGTAAACAAATGGCATATGATTACATATTTTTGAAAAGTAATTGCTCGTTTCAAACAATTTCTTCGCTGTTGTAGGTTGATCTAACAGTGCAAATAGTTGGCCAAGGAAGATTTTCCTGGGCTGTCCATTTTTGTAAGGCCATCAAAGTGAGTTTTTCTATTGTGTACCCTGATTGTAAAACAACCCTGAATGTCTTACCAAATGACATTTGTGCCGCGGCTGGACTCAACCCTCGAACCAGGTAATACACAGTGACATGACGTATCCAATATACAGCGACACCCTCTACTATAATAATTATAAATTGGTGTAAGATAAATATGGAATTGACTTACAGGCTATCCCACTAGGGATACTGGTTCCAGTGGTGGTGACTCCAAACTTGATGGTTTGTAAGGGGTTGATTCTCTTTATAGATAACTGGGCACGGGTCTCGCCATTTTGTAGAATGTTGATGTCAATTTCCCGGATGACCTCGTCGGCAGTTGTTTCGTAATCCTTGATATAGAAGACGATGTAGTGCATGAGACAATACATCTCGTCCCCCGTAATCACCTTTGAATCAATTAAAAAAATCAGAAGTTCATTAACCGTTCAGATATGAAGCGTTGAACTGCGTAATCTCATGGAGTGTATGTTAGTTTTCGTTTTTTTTTTTAACAGTGACGACGTCATATCTTTTTTTCCCGCGTCATATCTGAGTAAGTAACCATAATCAAAGCAATTTATAACGGAAACGTGCATTGACATACAGGGAGCAGTAATGTGAAGTTTCGAAAAAAAAGCACCACGCTTTTGTATGCTCTGGTGTTCAGACGCGAGGCCTTCTTTCAACACTCCATTAACCAAAAATTAAAGGTAATAACTTCTTTATGAAGAATGCATGAAAACGAGAGAGAGAAAGAGAGAGGTTGAAAAGAGAGAGAGAGGACGAGAGGGAGAAGAGAGAGAGAGAGAGAGAGAGAAAGAGAGAGAGAGCGAGAGCGAGAGAGAGAGAGAGAGAGAGAGAAAGAGAGGTAGAATGAGAAAGAGGAAGAGGGGAGAGAGAGCCAATATTGAAAACGAGTGAAATATATGTACACGTATTAGCTGTAATAGTTTGTGTTCACAAATTATTAAACACGTTATTAAATGTTCAATAATAATGTCAAAAATATTATTAAGTTTTGTATACATTACATTGAACATTTCTTAATCATGACGATTTTATCTAAAAGTTTGTTTTGCATTCTCCACTATTTAAGTTTCATTGTTTAACACTCCTGTTAATCTTACCTTTCTTACTTTTACACCATTTTTCGAACAAGCCTCCAACGTCACGTCTGAATCTGTGACCAATGTCACCAAGGTGTCTCGGGACTCCAAATCAAATCCTACCCACTCCTCGTGATCCTTAATCATCTTAGAATAAGGGAAGAAAAATAAATATTCAAGGGAGTGTAGCATGACGAGACTACATGTAATATCCGTGGCCTGACTCGGCGGCATTCGGGTATAATACGACTACGCGGGAGCGTGCGCAGGGAGTGTGTGTGTGTGTGTGTGTGTTTTTTTTTTTTTTTTTTTTTTTTTTGGGGGGGGGGGGGTAGGTGTTTTGTGTTCAAACACCTCCCTCAATGCTTCTGTCAGTGGCGGATCTAGAAAAAGGGGCGGCGCCCAGACCCCACCCCCCCCCCCCTTTACCAAAACAAAGAAAAGTTAAACAAGTTTCTTCTTTGTTTTTGCTCAAGAGGGGGTTGGGTGTTGATTTAAAAAATATATATATACACTACCCGCCACCTGCCCCCTCCCGATATTTTTCTTCACGAATTTGGCAAAGAAAACAAAAATTAGTGGCATATGTAACGTTGTATCATCCGCTCAATCTAACTTGCATGCATGAAAAAGGTAAAGTTTTCAAGAAAGTGTGTTTCTGTCTAGCGTTGGGATGCCCGTAATTCACTTGGGTAACCTTTCAAATAATATTATACAAACAAATAATATGCACTTTCTCTGTACTGTTGTCGGAAAGACATAGTACAATCTCGACATTTTTACGTGGGAGCAAAATGGCGGCGTGTGCATTCGAGCACATCTCCCAGCACTTTCAACGGCCACACGTCCATCTGTGAATTATACATTGGGGTAAGCGTTTAACGTATGTTACAGACCCATGAACTCAACGCTGTGTGTTGTGGTCTACTTCTTTTATGAGACAAGTCCAAGAACGCGTTTCCATATATGCATGCCCCTCCCCCGCTTATTCTCTGGCTGGCTTATTCGTCGCCAAAGATTTTAATTCGAATTTGCCCCCCCCCCCCCAAAAAAAAGTGGTCATTACCCCTCCCCCCTATTATTTATTGCAATGACGAAATCGTCATTGCCTTGTTTTCGTTCACATTCTGCCCCAAACATATACTTATCCTTATCCTTATCCTTATCGTACGGAAATCCCATTCGTTTTGCACACAGTGCTTGTTATTCCTAGTTAGGTACTTTCCTCAAGTCCTTTTCCTTTCCAAAACTCGTAGGCATCATCTCTAGCATCTCATCCAGGTCACTATATTCTTCGATTTTCGAAATCACTCATGCATAACCGTCCAGGCGCCATTTTGTCCGTTTCTGGCCAATTGTAAGGCCTTTCTTTCTTCCTTCCTATCTCCACTATCCTAAATCCTACAAACTTTTAACAAATTCCTTTAGATAGTCTAAGAGATGTTCCTTTATCTGCGACACATAACCTGACCTTTAAAATGCCATCTTCGTCATCGAAATTCGAATCTGAAACCGACTCCGTCAAAAATCTTTAAAATTCTCGAAAAATGGACCCCTAAAAATCTAAAACTGCCATAACTTTCTCATATAATTTCCGTTTGGTTTTTAAATCTAACAGTATCTTTATCTTAAAATTGCGCATAGCCATGCCATATTACTCGCTCCAATGGTTATGCAAAATATAAATAGCGCCTTCTAAAGTTCTGGGAATTGGCTTTCTTTCTGTGGCCGTATTTCAATTATGGCTTGGCAAGCTTGAAAATACTTGAAAATATGATACTTGAAAATATGCCCTTTTCAGCCATGAACAAAATTATATACCCTAACACTTACCAAATTTGAGAAAATTGCCTTCCAAATTCGCCATTTTCAAGAAAATTGAGAAATAACTTAAAATTACGATCCTTATGCCTACGTCAATTAATCTTGGCAGACACATGTATCCATATATGTGACAATTGTCTGACAAGTTTGGTAAATTTTATTGACGTCAGCACAAAGTTATCGCTAAAAATGATGAATTTACTATGCATTACGTAATAGCGCGTTTAATGCGTGCAATACATTGCGCGCAGATGACAATGGTGTCAAACTGACCGCAATGACGTGCCTGTTCACACAGAAAATTGTGAGTAAATCGCATTTGAACAAGGGTCACTATACGAATTCTGCTGAGTTTCCGCCACGTAATAACACGTATCGGATTTGACGTAATTTTTTCAGTTTTTCAGACTGCTTTTTGCCCCCCCCCCCCTACCGTCCTTTTTTCCCTTGTAATTTTGTAAGCGTATTCTGGCTGGCCAAACGCAGAGCCTCTCGAAGCCGGATTTTTAAAATTCGTCAAGGGAGCCATGTTAGACGCCATTTTATTTTATCACATAAGCTACATACTTCTTACACATTCTTACACAGAAGCTCCTTCGTTTGACACGTAGAAACATGGCGTTATTGCACGCATATCGTTGTTACACGATTGCATATTTAGTTCCGAATTGTTATACTGCAGTAGATTTTGTTTAACCCCCCCCCCCCCCCAAAAAAAAAATAATAATAAAAAAAAAAAAAAAAAAAAAAAATAAAATTAAAAAAAAATAAAAATAAATAAATAAATTAAAAAAAAATAAAAAAAATAAATAAAAAAAAATAAGAAACGCACAAAAACTTACTGGGCATCATCATGCCCCGCCCCCCCCCCCCTCAAATTTTTTTTTAAAACAATCTAATTGGCACATGTCATTTTGAACATTCAGTGTAAGTTTCGATGGTTTCTGTGAGAATTTATTTTCTATATTAACCAGAGCTCAAGTTTAGCTTTAAAACTTTAAGTGCGTGCAGTGCATATTCCATAATGCACTCGCAAGCATTACACGCTAACACATATCTTATTTCATGTTCCCATATTGTACTTACCCTGGCAAATGGGAAGCCACTCAGCTGATGGTAGAAACTTATTTTGACTGGCATAGGCTTTCTCGATTTCCATCGCCTTGGAAGGAAGCCCATGAAACCGATGACCTTTTCCATGTCACCTAATACCACCTGGATTTAATAAAAACATGATCGCAATTATTTCCTAAAAATCTAGCTCAAGGGGAATTTATTCTCTAGTATGTCCCATAGAAATGTTCTCATCACGTAATATCTTATCGTCATGTTTTTAAATTAAAAACAAATGATAAACAAGGCTATTAAAAATGCCTTAGGTTGACTTTTCCAAAGTAGTTCATTTCGTGTTGAACATATATATACACATTTCAGGAAAACAGGTTATTCTTAAATGAAAAAGACTAAACAAAGAGGTTCCATGATAAATCGTGTTCCGGAACTCAATAACAAAATACATGTCTACCTCAACTATTGGCTATCCTCTTTAGAAAGGCCACATTGTCTATTATGGTCATATATTTCGTCTCCCTCGTGGGAGAAAGACGAAGAACCTGTCTACAAAGGCCACCTGTCTTTTTTCGTTTCCTTTTGATGGACTTAATATATAGGTTTTAACCCTAAAAGGCCGGGCTATTTGAGGTCTTAATACGACTTGGGGGGGGGGGGTGATCTCTCTCTCTAGTTCTATCCTTACAAAGATGACGTGGTGGAGTGGTTCATTAATTTGAATTTCAAGCAAAAGGTTCAAATCCCCGCTTCGCACTAATGTCCTTTGTTAAGACAAAACATAAATCTATGATATCGTATTTTTTGTAATGTATTATTACTTTCCTTATTATTAGTATCATTAGTATTATTGTCAATTTAAAAAAAAAAAATCATAATATCATCAACATTTTTTTTTCTTTTTGCTGCCTTCTTCTTCTGTTTTTCTTGTTTCGTTTGATTATAATAGTGATCTAGACAAGAATAATGCTAAATCTAATAAAAATAACATAAATTCTAGCAATGATACAACTTAGAAATAATGAGAACTTTGATGAACATAAATTTGTTAGTGCTGCATTTCTTGAACTTATAAATGTGTTTGACGGTATACCCCATAAATTGCTTTTGTTCAAAATGTTGTACCTTGGAATTCATGAAGCTCAGTTGAATTGATTTGAGCATTACGTGGCAGGCAGAAAGCAATGTGTATTTCATAAAGGAAACAAAAAGTGTCCTTCTCTCCATTCGAACAGGAGTCCAACGAGGATCCATACTAGGATCATTTCTTTCTTTTTTCTTCATGTATGGTATCTAAAATCTAAATATTAATCTACATACAAAGCTCTCACTTTTATGCGGACGAAACAGCTGTATTTAACTTCGGTTTCGATGTGAGGATAGTGCAGTCAATGTTACAATCAGGCATAAATAAGTTTAGGAATTTTTTATTTTTTTAAGATATTGGGATGACTGTTCGAGGAAAAGTTGATTTCTTCTTTCAGACCACAAATGCCTTCAAAGTGCATGGTTATTGCTCTTATTCTTATTTATGACATTTGTAGTGCCCTTTTAGAACCTGAATTTGCTATGAAGGCAATTTTAGTCCCAGAAATGTGTGAAATTAAGCCAATACGATCATACCTGTTCAGCTGCACTTTTAAAAAAATATGGTGAATCAATTAATTAATTAATAATAATAATACGCGGGCCGAATGGTTATTATAAACAACACGAATAGGCCAACAAAAAGCCAACGTCGGTATTGGCTGGAATAAAACGTACAAGGCGCTATCACGTTCTTTCAACGGCTGGTTCAAATTATAGAATATTTGTGGGGCACCAATAATATTATACATCGTTACATTTATGGATATTTCAGCCGTCCCTGAACCGATTTTGATTTAAAAAAAAAATGATTTTGTCATTTAAATTGTATGTTCTTTCAAATTTGACACTCAGTTTTTCAATAACTCAAACACGAATTATTTTGTGTAGCGCCCTCTGCAACATAACTCAACTTTCCCCTTAACTCAGACAAAGCAACAAATTATGTTCCTTTCATCCCGTCGGAAAAGACGTACTCATATTGCTCCGGTTGTCTCATTTTCGCTCGCTGGACGTTTATAGCAGAAGACAATCGGCGGATTAGACGACACTTGATAGTGAATTTGTATGTGAGATTGCTTTGCTAAATATAAAATACAAGAACATTGTCCATATCTTTAAACTATCATTGATATCTGACAATTAAACAGTTATTAAAATAAACCTATCAAACTCCATAATACAATGAAATACTTGACTTAAAGTAGGGGAGTTTGATGTGGTGCACGGGGTGGTGCACAATTGCACCCCTCTGTACATAATCGAATAGTCCATGTCGATCATAAATATTCATGTTTTTGCTTACCTCGGCAAAATGTTTGCTTATCTTCAATGGGAAAATTACGGTGGGGGGTTGGATGAAATGGACATAATGAACCGATCAAAACCTTATAATCGCGTGGCAAACTGAGTCCAAAGTTCGACTTGTTTCACATGTGTTATGTAGGCAATGGCGAGCTTGCAACCTATTTTGATCAAATTACGGTGGGTAAACTTTCAAAAGTCAACGGGACATGAGGGTTCCAATGAAAGGGTTCCAATTTTTAACGATTTTGGGGGTAAAATTCCATAGGCTAAAATGTTAGGCTGCTGACTTTGACGATAGGGGGCGTTGTCAAATGAGCCTAAACGGAGCAATATGTTTAATTTTCAGATATATATGAATGGTCAACTACTAAAAACTGTCACTAGACTTTAAACATCTTGGTGTAATTCCAATTTGTTGAAGTAGTTAAGAACATTTACGATCAATTGCATGTATACAAACAATCAAGTGTTGTTTATATATTGAAATTTGAATCAATTGTATTTTACACTCGTATGTACTCAATGTACATCCGTACATTGACTAATGTTGTACTCTTTGGGGCTCTTTAACAAAAAGGATAGTTTGAGATGTCAAAACAAATACGCTCGAGAGGTTTGAATGCTGACTATAATGCACCATCATTGGGACTTCTTTGCTCACGTAAATGGTAGCCAATTGAACAAAAAATAAACTTTCATTATTTGTTATGGTGTACAATTTATTGCACAACCTTGCCCAACAATACCACTTTATATACAGTGCGTCCCCAGAAAAACGAAACCGAGAACTATCGATGTTTTATCATGACTTAATCACAATTATGATGAATAAATGACACATATTTGGAAAGCTTAGATTCTCTTCTTTCATTTGATGGAACTCATATGATGCATATTCCACGCATGAGTGATTAAAAGCAATTTGAAGAGAGGAAACATACAAATCATTTGGCGGGTGGTATCTGAATTTCAAGGAGAAAATCACACTTCTAGAAAGTTCAATTTCTTCCCTTTCATATGACACCTCAATCAGGAAAAATGAGCCAGGAATAACAAAGTTATGTTGGTTTAAATTAAGGCTTGCATTTCCATAATTTGATCAAACGAGTTCGTTTTCACTGGCTGCCTGCCATAGCAACTAACAGAGTTGACAAAAGACTCCGTTTCGTTGACGATCAGCCATGCACAAAGAAGACGAAAGAACTGATGCATGGCTGATCTTCAACGAAACGGAGTTACGTCTTTTGTCAACTTTGTTAGTTGCCTGCCGTAGCAGTGAAAGCCTGTGAAAACGAACTCGTTTGATCAAATTATAGGGATGCAAGCATTACTTTAAACCAACATAACTTTGTTATTCCTGGCTCATTTTTCCTGATTGAGGTGTCATATGAAAGGGCAGAAATTGAACTTTCTAGAAATGAGATTTTCTCCTTGAAATTCAGATACCGCCCGCCAAATGACTTGTCGGTTTCCTCTCTTAAAATTGCTTTTAATCACTCATACGTGAAATATGAATCATATGAGTTCCATCAAATGAAACAAATGAAAGAAGAGGATCTAAGCTTTCCAAATATGTGTCATTTATTAATTATAATTGTGATTAAGTTATGATAAAACATCAATAATTCTTGGTTTCGTTTTTTTCTGGGACGCACTGTATAGGAGACCTTACACATATTAAACGAAAAACTTTATAATCGCAAGAAATGGTTTGAGAGTGGCAAATTTTCCATGAATGTGTTGTCAAATGACATTAGCGCCCGGTTGGGACTCGAGCCGCGAACCTAGTATGATCAATCGTCCGGTTGACGTATCTACTACACCAGGACACCTAGACAAGTTTACAGGGACACGATAATGCTTCAGAAGTAGCAGACTATAGAAGGACTACCTCCTCGAAATACTCGTAACAATATACCTACCTGCACTTGCTAGAGAAAAGATGGAGTAGCAGGCAGTGTCTACCTTACGAACGCAATCCCGTTGGCCGGTTCCACCTCGGAGAAACAATGACTGGATGATTCGATGCGTTTTGATGAAGTGAGCTCTCTCTCGACGTTAGCGCGCTCGAAATTCATGAAACAAGAAAAGCCTCAACGCACAAATGAGATAACAGCTTCGTTTCACGAGACCGCCATAAGTACAAGTTCACCGACATGCTATTGAAACACGTGTTAAATTTGCTACATGCATTCCAACAAGTTGTTGGTGAACTTGTTCTTACAACGATTTCATGCAACGGTGCCTTTGTTCGTATGGAACTGTGCCACAAACTTTGCGTAAACTCGGCGAATTTTAGACAACGATTCAGTCGTATCAAAGCAGAGATGGGTTATTTAGTTTTGACACAATAATGATAGAAACAAAATGTGACTATACTGATGTCTGATGTCACCGATAGATCTGATGTCACCGAAACCAATAGATTGGTTTTTACTTAGTAGTTGAGGCATTGGCGTTATGAGCCAAGGACAGGGGTTCGATTCCCGGCTGAGACATTAACCAAATGTTGTTATGACAAACAAATAATCTATAATGTATCTATCATGTGATATATATATACCAAAGACTCGAATGCTTTTTCGTTGTTCCCATTGCAATATTTATCTCTACTGGCGTTAAATAGGCTGTTATTACTCGTTGAGCCAATCAAGACTGAAAATGGGTCATTTTATTTTTAAGGATGTAATTACATGATCAAAAACCTCGTTCTTAGTTAATGGGCAAAACCTTCGTGTAGGTTGTTGTTGTTTTTTCGTTGGTTTCATGATGATGACGTAATTGCGTAATATAAGTGTCACATTTTTGTGTGTCATAACACAAGCAGCCTTAACTAAATTATATTTGAAAAACTGGAAGTAACGCTACTCAACAATAGTAAAGAGGTCTGGGTGAACATATAAAATCCATCAAAATCCCCCCCCCCCCGATCCCCCTTTCTTAAGGATAAAGACCAGTTATGGTCATGCGATTACATTGTAAAAAAAACGTTGTAAAATCGATCAGAAAAGGTTGATCATCTAGCATATAAGTATTAGTGTGAACTGCAAGGTTCTGGAATCATCAAAATGATAAGAAATGTTGACATGTTTTGGTAAAGTTACAAGCACTGTACACAGAATGATGTATATGGGACTACGCGACACATGCGTGATATCTATAACGTCCAAATAGATATACTAATTTACCAAATATATAAATTAGTGTCATCATGTAGTCAAAACATATTCTTTTACCTGATTCGTAATAAGAGCTTCCATTTCATATTTTTGAGAAGGGGGCGTTTCCCAAACTGGTCTTTACCTTTAAATACTGTTTTGATAATACCAATTATTTGTTTTAGCTTTTTAATTCTATTTTACATGCGTGTTTGTTGATAATTTTATAACTGTTTGCGCTTTGTATGAATATAATTTTGACTTGCACTTTACAACCATGTAAAACAGAGCTCGAGTGAATTGAATTGAATACCATTCCTTGTTTCTCTCGAATTATCATGGGAACAAAAATAACGTTCCGCTTTCCAAAAAAAAAAAGAGTTGAGAAAAGAGAGAGAGAGAGAGAGAGAGAGAGAGAAATAGAGAGGAAGAGGAGGGGAGGATAGAGAGAAAGAGAGATAGAGAAAAAGAAATGAGAAGGAGAGTGGGAGAGAATAAGGTGGATTGAGAGAGGGAGAGAGAGAGAGAGAGAGTTGTAAGGAGAGGGAAGGAGAGAGAGAGAGAGAAAGAAAGAGAGAGAGAGAGGGGGTGGTTGTGACAGTTGTTTCAATCATACCCAATATTGTACAAATTTTACCAAGCACTTTGTAGACTCTGGGCAAAGGAGAAATACGCAATAAATTAACCACACGGTACACTGGTTGGCTTACAAACAAATTAAAAGTGATTCTATGATGGGGGTGGAAGGGGGGGGGTCTACTTTGAGTCTGTCCTTTTATTGATTCTTGAATTATGAATATCAATAATAATGTTACCATTGTCCCTGTCTTTTGTGTACGCTCCCTAGGTTTCCCCCCTTTATCCCCTTCTCTTACCCCCTGTACAACCTTCGCGTGGGACCAAAGCCTAGGAACATCGTCAATCATGCTCGAATGTTCTCTACTATAGTCATTATTGATCATTGTTCCAAAACTTTAAAGATAAGTTAGGGTTCTGCGACAGGTGGAAAAAAAAGCGGGAGTTCCTTTAATAATGTCATGTTTGAGTGAAAGAGTATCGTATAAAAAGTCCACTGAAAAGGGGGATGGCTCTTTAATTGCCCTCATATTTTAACTAGGAACGTAACAACTAAATGTTATAGACCAAGCTGTCATGCCACGTGTTAGTGTAGTCCCATATACACATTTCTGTGTATAATGCATGTGACCTCAATGAAGACTGAGTCAGTATCTTATCATTTTAATTCAAACCCCTCACAGCATAATATACCAATACTTCTTATGTTAAAGCATAACACGTTCTTTCATCGTTGTTTTCTGAACTCGATTTTCCATTCGATTGATCAATAATATCAGTGGCCATTGTTTATTCACCCCCTCTGAGGGTGATTCTAGTATTCTGTACAAGAGATGAGAGAGGGAAAACCCAGGGAAATCCCCCTCCCATCCCCACCCGAAAGAAATGAATAGTCGTTGAGAGCAACCGTCGACCTCCTGAAACGATGGAAGGACCAACGCGAATATGGCGCGAAGCCTCCGAAAACTAAATAATTGGCATATGTTTGTAACACTGCCGGGAACTAAAGGAGTGATTTTATTTCGTAATCTGTTGAAGAAAAATCCAACCGTAACTCGTATAAATGAAAGCAAACAGAGAAGCAAACAGGTGACGGTTTAAATGAAATGGTACATAACATAACAAAGTTATGAATTTCCTGTAAAGCTGTAACTACTATACGTGTTGGCGCTTCGAATTGGCCGAATCAATAATGTCAGTGTAAAGTAGTGTTGGACTTCTATTCCATTTCTACATGCAAAATAACTCAAATGTATTTTTTCGTCAAAACGTATGAGAGGACTAGGAGAGGACCTGTCAACTGTTGTTATTCATATTATATTGTCAGTAGTGCCCCAAGTGAGAAGGGACTGGAATAAGACGTGTACATATGGAAACTATTGAAATGTTCGTACACGACAAACGGGATATGTGTACACGTGACAATCCGATGATAAAAATGCTTATTTTTAAATTTCATAGATTTATTGATCTCATTTCGAATTTACTTTGAACTTGTGCCAGAATGTATGTTGTTATTGTCTCCGTCATTTTCCCTCTCAAACATAACACATTGCATAGAGTACAGTGTATATCACCTAGTAAAAAAAAACAAAAATAACTTTCAAATAAATAAAATCATTACAACCCAAACGGATTACTTTAACACAAAAGAAGAAATAATAATGCATCAAGGAGACTTTCTTTATTTTCTTATCTTACTTAATGAATACGTTGGCGTGGTTTTACCCCACATATTTGGAATTTCCGTCTAGAACTTTTGCTTCTTGTAAAGGTTTGATATATTTCAATATTTATGTTGTGTGCATTTGTGTGTTAACTCTTCTTGTATGATAAATCCATGCCAAACATAAAGAAACCGGAGATTTCGTTTAGACTTGATAAGCACGTAATTTGCATTAAACAATCAAACGTGGGATAGAATTAATCAACACTTTAATTAATACAACCATTATGACGAGCAAAGACTTTGGCTGAATCCCCGAACAGATATGATAAGAGATCATAAATTACGATGTAGTATATCAATGGACATTTACAAAACCTCATTGTACAGGGTAATTGGAGCTGCATTGTCGAAGGATCATTATCTTTGTATTTTTGTGTGTGTGCTGTTTTTCAGTTTTCTTTCTTTGTCATAAAACCACTGGCGACTGATTGTGTTTTCGTTTCCAAAGGTCAGCTGAAATTGACAAGAAATCACGCCTTCTAAAAATAAAATGGGTCAAGTAAGAAAGGCGGTTCGTTCAAATTGTTTTCGAGCGATTTGTCAAGCTAATAACAGCTATGGCTAAGTTCAAAGGTTGCCATTTTTTTAACATAATCAATCGGCAAAGTCTCATAAAAAAATGACATCGATCGATAATCATGTTGTTGATAAATAGGAAATTGTCAGATATCGGAGTAACTTTTAAAAAGAAAACTTTGATTTCACACAAACGTCACAAATTACGTCGCCTTGCTGGCAGAAGGGCGTTAGCTCGAATTTCAGGTAAAAAAAGGAAGTGCTATTAAAGCAGAAAGGCGTTAGCACTAAATCACGTCAAACTTTTATAAAACTGACCTATTTCCGAAACAAATTTCTGGCAGTGTTCAACTATAACATTTATATTAGTCTTTAAATATAAACAAATCTTTAGATATGAATTATTCCAAAAGTAGTTTTCGAGTCGCTCGCGCGTTAACGCTCTTCTGCCAGCCGAGCAGTAGTTTGATAAGAGTCATATAACTTGTATGAAAATGAATCACGTTTGTGTTTGTTTGATGTGAGGCCTGTGTAATGATGGAGATTACTTTGGGTCCTGTTGATGAAAACTGTAATTAAGTTTGCAATATTAAAACGAATTATCAACATTTCTTCTCAAAATAGGCTTTCCTAAACCTTTAAGAACAAAAAATGTCTCAGAATAATATTTAAAGAAATTCCCCATGTTTAAATATGATTTCCTATCTTTTTTCGAGCTCATGTCAATAAATAACTCGACCAAAACAAATTCGAAATATTTTCCCTTTTCCCAGAATATGATAATAATGATAATATCATGAGTATTATCATTATTATTACTACTACCATTTATAAGAAGATTACTGTTTTTATAATTGTTATTATTATTACCATTAATTTATTATTACTACTATTATTATTATTATTGTTATTAATATCATTTATACTTATTAGGAATTATTACCAGAACTCAAACTCATCTTTGAATACTAAATGTAAATATCTTTAAATCATACATTCCAGTTGCAAATTATTGTAAAAGCTAAAGCAATTTTATACCTAAATGGTAGTGTGTTTCTGACAACATTCAAATACATTTTCATTACACTTTATTCACTTGTTTACAACTTGTGTTTTGTTTGTAAACCAAATTAGAAGCCTCCCCTTATGTACATATGTTTTCGTCCCTTTAAACATGTTGCTTACACAGGCATGTTTTAACATATATCAACAACACAATAAAACAAAACAAAACCTGACTGTAGCCAATGATTTTAAAGCACTTTTAATCCCCCAAAATACGCATAGAATTAACCGAACATGAAGATTAAAACAAAATATAAAAGCTTAAAACCAATAAACTTCAATGATTGTCAAAATATAATGGCCAGTTTTTCTCGAGGCACTCACACAAACACACACATAATATATACACAGCGTCCCTGAAAACAAAAACATAACACAACTTTGTTGTTTAATCACTCAATAATTCGAAATAATTTTTCGATGACTAGTACTTTATTAAAGAGCTCTTTTTCTCCTCTTGTAATTGACACCTTAAAAATAATCAATAAACTACTCATGACCAAATTTGGATAGTATGAACAAAAAATGTAATTAAACCCAAATAAGCAAATGCCTCCTATATTTGGTTCCGTTTGCTTTTTAAAGGAAAGAAAACAATTAGTGAATTATTTATCATATAAGAAGGCTAATAATCTCAACTTCCAATTGGCAGCATATAAACATCGGTTCCAATTATTACATTTGTAAAACCATTTGCATATATGTATGAATATTTATATATATGTATATATAGTTTGCTAGTTGAAACACTCAACTCTCAATTGACATCCAACCGATTTTGTGAGTAGACTACTCAACGCAGCCTCACGTGCTCGCTGAAATTGGCGCACGCTAGGAGTGTTGGCTCAGTCAGTAGAGCGTCCGCCTCACAACCGGGAGGTCGTGGGTTCGAATCCCGGCCGCGTCATACCAAAAGACGTTAAAAGATGGGAGTTGTTGCTACCTTGTTTGGCGTTCAACAATAAGGGGATAGAGCAACGTCGATCTGGCGCTGCTCAGTGGCTGCCGGGCTCACGATCAATTGGGCAAAAAGAATTTCCGTTTCGGTTTAATAAAATTTGGAGTGGACTATTAGGCTATTATTATTATTATTATTATTATTATTAAGTCTTACTTGGGTTCTGTGTGCAAGATTGCAAGTTACATTTTTTATTTTCTCCTCTATACTCCTTATACATTAGTCCATATAAACAATTATAATTAAATTGTGATATACACATTAAGTTTCGTTGTTTTTAAAGAAGAAGTCGAGTTCTGGTCATGCGATTGCATCGTGGAAGAAACAGTGTGGAATCAATCAGAAAAGGTTGATCATCTAGCATGTAAGTATTGGTGTGTATTGTAAGGTTCTGGAATCATCAAAATGATAAGAAATTAGGCCCAGACTTGGTAAAGTTACAAGCACTTTAAACATAAAGATGTATATGGGACTACACGAACATGTGGCGTAATATCCGTCCCGATTCGTATGCTGTTACATGCAATATTCAGAATATTATGGCATTTGAAGAGTCATACTTTTCAGGGAACATTTGTAATCTGTTGCTCTTTCACACTTGCATAATAACAATGCCAGACTGCTTCAAGACTTAGCATGGCTCATTTACATTATATTAAATGTGCTTAGCATTTAGTTTGGTTATGTAGGCTTTCAGTTGAGAGTACATTATATTCACCTTAGTAAAATGCAGGATACTAAAGCCAGACGTTTTATTTGCTTGTATTACTATCATTTAAAGAGAAGGTTGTGAGCGTTGTCATTGTTAACATTTATAAATGTAATGCTTCCTGGGAGAAATTTCAATTATTTAAACATATTTGTGGCTTACACCTAGTAAATAAATGACTTTTTTTGCAATACAGATCGATCAATCGATATTATTTACTCGTCATCACAATTTACTGACTTTTTTAATAATAATAATATTTAATTTTTATATAGCGCTTAATACAAATGTCTCTAAGCGCTTTACAAATATACTATTACCCCGGTCATTGTATTCAGTGCTTACCTGCACACAATGTGTGTACAATCTCCACTCCCTGGGGAGCATTCCAGCCAGGCTTTACATGACACTCAAAAACTGTTTGACCAACCGGGTACCCATTTAAATCGGGCTATGCGTGTTAAAGTTGGGTTTCCTTTTTACTTACTACCTGTCTGTATTCTGGCCCAATTCATCTTCATGTAGACAGCAAACATGATTTCTTGGTTTAGTTTCACGACTAATTTACCATTACGAAGAAAACCATTATTATAGGCTTTATGAAGTTTATGCAAACGGTAAGTCATTTTGCATTTATACAGATGTTACTCAATCGTAGAAGTCGTCTTTTACTTGCAGGTACCTTTTCGTTAAATCCGGAAGGTTTGATCTCTTAAAGGCCTCTCTTAATTCCGGGCGCTGATCCGCTTCGTCTGTTCTGTTTCGCCATCTTGTGAGGAGCTTTTTGGTGCCTGCGTACCCCTTCCTACTCCCCGCAGAGCTAATGTTATCCGATACAAACCTCCCGAAATCTTTGGTACTGAAGCCAAGGGCGTTTACCAATACAGAAAACCGGTCAGCATGTATCTTGCGGCTTGATATGGCACCAATCATCTGGTCAGTAACTCTTTTTGGAACTCTGAAGTAAAGTGGACAAAAACAAAAATATATACCATGAGGCTTTCCGGTTAATTTTTTTCAATTTCACTCAAAGAAAAGGGCCCAAAAAATGATGTAATTTTTTGTTTGCTTGTTTTTTATTCATCGTCATGCATTAATTAATTGTTTGTTATTTATGTAATTATTAATGAAATCATTTGTTTCATTCGTTTGTTCAGTTATAACATATTTATTTTCCTATTTTACTATAAGTGGACTTACTTTTTACTCTTATACTTATCTAAATACTTATTTAGTTCTAAGATTTAATGAAGTCAATTATTTCCAAATTTAGCTGTTCTTAAATTCGATTAAATAACGTTTTTAACCTCAAATGAATCGAAGGTTCCGGTTCAACTTCCATTTCCACTTCTTCTGGTTCATCCGCTTGTGGGTCTGTTTTAGGAAAAGAATATGCAACACAATATTACATGTGTTATACACCTATACATTTATGTTAATATCCACTTATTGACATCAAATGAAGTATAAAAACAATCACTTATTTGAAATAAATATCAATTTTTTAATCATACAGAGTGAGTCAGAAAAAATGTCCCACTTTTTAAAAGTTGTATTGTTTGAAGTATGAGTATTTAATCATGGGTTTTATGATATGTCTTGATAGAGTTATCCTTCCAGTACATCTAGGTACCATTTTCACTTGAATCTCTGCATGCATGACTGAACATCAGACAATCTTTACAAGACTGCCAGATCTTACTTGCGCCAAGTTGCTGGGTAAAGAATAAAACAGTGCATTGAACAATAATTGTGTCATAATTTCCCCTTTTCTGATTAAGCATTAATTTGTATTAAGATCCCTAAATGTTTAAGTGGCATAACCCTGACAATCTTTCCCTTTAGTACACATTCACTACCACCATCATTTCATCATCACCATCATCATTGTCATTATCTTAATCTTGATCATCATCATTATCATTATCATCATCATTATCATCAGCATTAGCATCATGAAGCACAACATCCGCCAATAAGCGCCAAGAGGACAGCGGCCACTCAACTTATTGAACGAGAAGAATTCCCGACAAAAAGTAAAAGTTTGGGTGGGCCTTGTCTGGAATGGAACGCTCATTTGTGTGCGTGTGCTTGTGCGTGTGTTCGTGTGGGTGCGTGTGTGTGTGTGTGTGTACGTGTGTTTTGTCTGGCTGTCTTTGTTCAAAACACTTTTGTATTCCTCACCCAGCAACTTGGCGCAAGTGATATCTGGCAGTCTTGTAAAGATTGTCTGATGTTCAGTCATGCATGCAGAGATTCAAGTGAACATGGTACCTAAATGTACTGGGAGGATAGTTCTATCAAGACATATCATGAAACCCATGATTAAATACTCATACTTCAAACAATACAATTTTTAAAAAGTGGGACATTTTTTCTGACTCCCTCTGTATATCATGTGGTTGTGAAATCGAGTAGAAAAGACAAAGTAGAAAGTAAATTCAAAACCAAGTGAAAGTTCAAATTATTGCATGTATGGTTATGAAATGATGACGCTCTATGGGGAAATTCGAAGTCACTTACGTTTCAAGCAATAATTTCCTTTATACACCTATACATATATATATATATATATATATCTCCTATGTAGCTATGACAACAGACAAATATCTTAAACAGTATCCTTTACCTATCAACTTTTGCTTAATGTCCATCTCTGACCGGCATTCTTCCTGGTAAACACGTAGTTTGATGTTTACTTCGTTCGTATATTCGCAAGTGTAATCCAGCTCAAAATCAATTAACTCATAGGGAACGCAATCCAAGATCTGAGTTTCAAGCATCTATGAATATAAACAGATGTTAATAATATGTATATTGATAATAATAATACTATTGAATAAACATTCTATTCGTCACGGAGATGAATTAGGTGATCTGTCGCTTGATTGATATATAACTTTTTTCCCTTTCTCTTATGCCCAAGCGAGGTTTTTATTTCCATAATATCAATACATACTTACAATAATTACTGAATTATTGAATTAAAAATAACATAGGCTAAAATTAAAAAGTAAATTCAACAATCCTTACAGCTAAGTATTATTTTATTTGCCAGCAAATGTATACCTTAAACATAATCTTAGCAACGACTATAATTTTGTTTTTGAATCGATATATACAACATGTAAAAAATGGTTTTATTAAAAAAAATCCTCCATCCACGTATACTTAACATAACAATACAATGTTATATTGCCCATTTGAGATTCGTATAGATACAGATATACAGTGATATCACGTTTCAAACATTCGGAAAGCTCTTATTATTGGTCCTACGTATTGAAATTTTTCGCTATTCTGCTTGTCCTATTGGTCTGCTTCCATAAAAATGAGTTTATTATAAAATTTCGATTGTCCTATAATGCACCAATATGCCTTGTGAAAAGACTGTACCTACCGATACAAGAGGTTCTGGATTTCCTTTCTTGTCACAGGTAACTTCCATATCCTGGCCAATATGCTTCAAAATGAATGTTGTTTCATCCTTAACGCAAACGTTGTCCTTCTCCTCCCATTCTTCCCGAATGCGCTATGGAACGAAAAAAAGGAAGGGTATACATTCGTCGATATATAAATACTGCATGCGTTAAAAATACGAAATATCCGTATTTCACGATGAGGGTGTATGCATTTACCAATAGGTGCATAAACGGCCTCGGCAAGAACAATTACATCCTATACTGATCGAAGGAAAACATAGATCATTTGTCTCATTCAACGAAACTCCTAGATCCTTGTGATTTCTCGTAAAAATAATTCATTTCAAGATTGGTTCGTATCATTATCGCTGACAAGAAACCGCAAGTTAGCGCGCACACTTTTAAACTCTTATTCTTAAGAATTGCAATTCCCGACAACTACCCCTGGCAACAATTACCACCAACTTGAATCCTGGTTGTCCATGAGGTTAGTCTGTTGTTCTAGAACCATTCACACTACTAGAATAACGCAAAATGGAAGCAAGGTGAGTCACGTAAACAATACGTGGTAATTTATTGGTATATTCAGAGGCGGAGATCCCTAAATAATTTTAGGGGGATCGTCCCCCACTCAAAATTTGAATAAGTACTGGCTTAATACTGCAACACACCTTTAGACTCTGGAGGGCCCATGAGTGCAGCGTTTATGTAAATAAAAATGCAAAAATCTTCTCACTCGGTAGCTACGCTACCTCGCATATATACTTCAAAATGTACAGGTAAATACCAAGCAAAGTGAAGTGTGAACAAGTATATTGCTTGTTTTTATACTGTAGTTTTGCTAAGACTGTACATTGTTAATACAACAACACTTCAAAAATCTGTGATGGGGTAGTCACTTCCGTCACCTTCATCGCTCTCATTCACTATTGCTCCCTCGCATTTGCGTACTGATGGGGGGGGGGGGGGGGAGGGCATTGGAGGCAGTTCCCCCAAAATTAAATTCAAACGTGGTTTATTTCTAATTCGATACCAGTGATTACAAATGTCGCTGAAATGGCATGATTTTTCCCTCAGCTTTCGGGGCTCTGCCCCCTGGACCCCACCAAGGGCACTAAGGCGGCCTCTGGATGCTCATCTGAATGTAAGTTAATGCCTAAAACCCCTGGGCTTCTGGGGGCTCCGACCCTTGACGCCCGCCGAGGCATTGGCCCTGGACCCCACGTCGATTTACGCGCTACTTTGCTTTGCTCTACCTGATCGTAAATACTGTAGCCCCCCCCCCCCTGCTTTGACAAACGTTCCCAGGGCTTGCGTAACATGTATAGTGATGTCGATTTTGTTCTGCCCCTCAAAACATTTTTGATCATTACGCCACTGCTCCCTCGTCCCTCGCATTTGGTCCCCCCCCCCCCGGTCATGAAAAGAAACCGCCGCCCCTGGATATATGTATGTGCGTGTTTGTGTGTGGATGCGTGTGCGTGTGTGTGTGTTATGTGTTAGTACTCTTAAAATATTTACTTCAAAGCTAACTGAGATTAACGCTGAACAATACCTTGCCAATTTCACCGAATGGATAATAGAAGTTCACATGTAGAATTGGCCTTCTGTTCTCCGGCATACATCGTGGAAGAAAGGCTAGTAGTGCAACGCGCTTCCCTTCGCACATGTCATCTTTTATTGAGGCTGTATACAATCCCGGGCCTCCTATTGAGAAGCTCACTGTGTCTTTCCCGATTTTGCACTCAGGGGGTGATAGTTTTAGACGATATATTATCTTTCCTTCTACGACAAAAAGGAAAGACAACAAACAAATGTTTAGAGTAATACGAGGCGGTGTGGCCATATAGATCGTCACACGCGCGAGATATTGATCTACTTTAAAGGAGACAAACTTATAGCTCCATAAGCACTTTCCTGCTTGCTTGTTTTTTCTTGCCTTAGTAACCTTTGAGTTTCCTTCTCTATCTGAGATAAACACATTATGCTCCTTACGCGCATGAAATGGCGCAGCAGACGAGTGAGCAAAGAAAACCTACATATCATGAGACAAGAAGTTAATAGGCTGATTAAAACAATACACCAGTTTACGGTTGTATCAGTGCACATGCGCAGACATGGGCGCCATTTTAATTGGCGAGTAAACAAAGCCAATGACCTAGAGGTCAGTGGTTTATGCGTAAATTAAGATTGCGCCCATGCAAATTATGATGGAATCACTGCTTGCGTGCTGTGTTGTGCGCGCACATCATCATTTGCATGGGCGCAATCTTAATTTACCCATAAATACCACTGACCTCTAGGTCATTGGCTTTGTTTATTCGCCAATTAAAATGGCGCACACAACCGTAAACTGGTGTATTAAAAGATTATCCTCTGGATTGAAACAAGGTTCTCTGAAAGCCTAGATACATTGCATGAATTTACTAAAGCACGAGGAATATTTTAACTGGTAACCCGACACATGCTCCGCCGACGATTGCTCCGCCGACATTTACTCCGCAAAACGCGACAATTGCTCCGCGACATTTGCTCCGCCGACATTTGCTCCGCCGACAATTGCTCCGCCGACAATTGCTCCGCCGACATTTGCTCCGCCGACAATTGCTCCGCCAACAGTTGCTCCGCCAACAGTTGCTCCGCCTGAAGCGACACTTGCTCCGGTGACATTTGCTCCGCCGACAATTGTTCCGCCCAAAAAGTGTCCCATAAAATACAAATGCTACTAATACTACGACAAATGCTTCGCCGACAATATGTTTTTTCACGGGTTATTTTCTTTTTTTTCCCTTCATTTTCTGAATGCATTTCATGAAATAATGTAGATGAAATGAAATTAATGAATGTTGATGACAATAATAATAACTAGATTTGTAATACTTGTTTTGAACAAGAATAGGTGGGCTGGTCTAACTAAAATTTGAGACAAAATAAAGGGCAAATTTAAGATAGCTTATTGTCTCAGCTACAACATACTCGAATTTCAGCGTAAACGAAGCTAAAACGACGGAGATATTGCTCGCGAAAGACGGGAATGTAGAATCCAGTTTTGAAAAAAGTCATGTCCCATGCAATTATAATAATACTATATACTTATACTAAACGTCATCAAAATCATCACGTTCATATTCATCATAAAGATAACAATAATAATGATTATAATAATTACAATAATAACTTATATTAACGATAATAATCATGATAAGGATAATAATCATAATAACAAACATAATAATTACAAAAATAACATTAGTAACACCACCAACCATAATAATCATTGTTGTCATTATTAATGTGATACTGCTTCTAGTACTACTCCTACTATATGTACTAGGAAGAAGGAGGGGAAGAGGAAGAATCTTATTGTTTATTTTTTATATTATCGAGGCATACAAATGCACAGGGAGGTAAGAGAGGGAAAGGTAAGGCGACGAAGAGGGAGAGAGAGGGAGAGAGAACGAGAGGGGGTAGCCTATGGCCCGGGTTCAAATTCAGTTCTCTTTAATTTATTTGACCCGGTACTGATGATCATAATTTTATCTACCATGCGATTGCCAAGTGTACGCCACACCGAATAGCACTAGCTCACATTTTGTTATTGTTGTCAAGAACTTATTGGCATGCAGCCAGTAGATTTTCATCATGTGTTTGATCTTGTATTGAAAAAAGATTAAACACATCATCATAATCTACAGAGTGCAACCAAAAAATTCTTAACAACAATTGAAATTTCTTTCAGGAAGCCTAACACTAAAAGCTGTTTTTGATTCAAAGGGCATCGTAGAGACGATGAACAAATAAGAATAATAATACATTCACTAATACATTTTCAATAATACATTTTCCCCGCCAAATAATCCGAACAAAAGAATCAACCGAGGGTAATCAACTGTTAAACGAATGTATCTTGAGTCCTTGAAAAATTAATTAATACTGCTTGTCAAATATTATTGAAGAACAGCAAAGGCGAACGCGATTGTCGCTACAATTCAGAAATCATTGCTTGCATTGCTTTTCTCTCAAAATTACCGTGAGATATCAAGCTACATAGAACTATGATCGACAAAAAAAATATTGTCTTGAAAACAGTCAGAAACATTAGAACTTGAATGAATAAAACATAATGCACATGAATAAGACTAGAATGAATAGGACACAAGTTCATTTCTACCATTTAAATCATCACGTACCAAATACCTGAGCAAAATTCGAACCAGATGCATTTAATGGTAAGCTTAAAGACAATGATTCATGACAATTGTAAATTGTCGTGAGTTTATCGTCTATATAGACGTATTGCAAAAGATAATCAGGATAATAAGGATCAGAATGATACCTCTACTACTAGGCCTACTTCTACATGACTATACTATACTACTGCCATTGTAGAATATGCTGATAATACAGATGATAATAATGATATGATTAACAATTATAACTAGACTTTAATTCGTCACTTTGACGAATTAGGTGATACGTATGCTATTTTTGTATCATGAAAGTGTGCCGATGATGATCTAATGATAATATTCATAAATACGATAATAAAGATATTGATGATGATGATTTATTTGTTTTAAATGACGATGAAAATGATTAAAAGTGGTATAGCGCTCCCTTCATGAATTCGATAGACAATTATTGTTATATGATTCATTTACTAAACAAGCTCAAATTTTCGCCTGATTGCAGAGCCTACCAATCATTGAACTGATATTTCGACGCACTACATACGCAACATAATGAACAAGTCTAGACTGGAATGTAGTATCATTCACCTCCCATAGGCATAAGACGCATATTAAGCAAACAATCTAATGACGTCATCAAAATGAATAAATATTGGTAATAATCTTGTGAAGAATTGTCTCAGCTACAACGTATCAAAATTTAGAAGAAAATTGATCAATATTTGCAGAGATACAATCATTTTCTGTAAATATGTTGACGTCATAATATGCAAATTCGTATTTTGACTTCCAAGGCCATTATGATGACGTTAAAATGTACTTAATGGCCAAATGAGAAATGAAATCATATCTCCGACTCATTTAATCAAAATAAAAGAACAATTGGGGGTCTAGGTGCATCCCAAAGAGCTGTGATGGATTTTGTGTAATCATGTTTTTGCCAATATATGCTCTGTATTACCTGTGCTCGTGCACACGGCAATTTATCTTAAAGTTGATATTCATTGATTTTAAAAACTACATTTATTTTAATTATTGCAAAGTTGAAATTTTGATTCGACAAGGTTATCAAAATTCCATGCTTGGAAATATTCGAAGTAACGATTATTATAAATTACAAAACGCTTAAATACAGCATAGGCATAGCACCAGAAGAGCTCTCCGAACGCTACTGAGATGTGTGAGATCACAGTATGGACATGACTTGCACAAGCAAACGATGCCCCATGACATCTCACACATTTTCAGTGCATGTGTTTTCATCTTCTTGAGTCCTTTCTCTTACTTCACTACCGTCAGGCTAAATGTATAATATATTGCCTCACTCTTAACCCCGCGCATGGTTTTATTTTGATGACAAATGCAGCGATACAAAAATAAAGGAATCTGTCGCTTGTAAACAAGAGAGAACAAATGCCGTCCTTAATATCATTCCAGGGGTTTTCAATTTGGAAGTCTGGTTTCTTTGATTGTTAATTAACCCCAATCCTGTGTATTTACAAGCAAAATATTTTAGTTATCAGAATCGGGTCATATCCCCTTTTGAATGGTTTGACATGCCTTTACATTTATATACACTTAACTCATTATAATTTGACAAATAATAGCTTTGCAATTATGTTCATTCTCTATGGGATGTCGTCTGCTTGGGCAATGTTGGTCCATATAGTGACGTCATTAAAACATCGTTATTTTTCCGGCGAATCTCTGGTATATCCCAGCTGCTATGATGGTGGTTGTATTTGTATTTTTTATAAATCACCCGATCTGTAGTTGACCTATTACTTGTACGATGGCCATCTGTTAGATTACCAGTTTCTAGTCATACATTAGTTGACATATTTGGGATTTTCTTTGAATTTCAACTTTAAACGGACGCTTATTCCGTTATGAAATATCATGAAAGAACAACAATGCGTGTGCATAATTTTCGAAATTCTTTAAATGGCCTAGAACATACTCTGTTTTGATTAAAAAGTGAATTTGAGCATTTTAAAATTCAGACGCGCGCGGATTTTGATGAGATGTTATGTCGAACCTTGACCTGAAGTTCGTGTGTTTTAAATATGGTTCAGTTTTGATGACTCGTTATGAAGATATGATTAAAAGTCGATTTCCACAAAATAGCGCCTGGATGACGTCACGATGATTTTGAGTTACTGAAAAGTGTCACAATTCTAAGTTATGCTAAAATTAATCATCATTGCAAGTTTCATTATAATGGCTTTATTCATTCATGAGATATCCTGCGAACGAATGGCAGAATAATGAATGGGAATAACAATAATTTGAATTTGTCACTTTGACAATTTAGGCTATACGTATGCTAATGTTTTAAATAATGAAGAATGTATTTTCACGATTTTATATTATCTTCTAAAATGCTCTTCCTATTAAAGGTAAAAACCAGTATCGAAAACGCCCCAATTTCAAAAAATGAAATGGAAGCTCTTATTACCAATCATGTGAAAGAATATGTTTTGACTAATACATGATGATAAC